GCCTGAATCAACAAGCACGCGCCTGACTTCGAAGTCGTTGATCCTTAGTTTTATGACAAGCACATCACCGTGGGGGTAGTGGACCCCTCACGCATCGTCTTCCGTGAAGAAAATCGGTTCCTCCGTCTTCGGCCTCTTTGGAGGGTTCTGCTCTTCTCGGGCAGCTTCGCGAACTGACGCCCGGGCCGCTACCGAAGTACAACCCGCTACTATCGAACCTCCCACTATCACGTGGATGGTTCCCCGAACTAGCTTCTCTTCTGGAGGCTGTCTTTGCGACTATTCGGCCGGCCTGCTGTTGGACTCGGGAGCATCCTTGCCGTGCTCCCCTTGCCGACCTGTCTTATTATTATTATTATTATTATTATTATTATTATTATTATTATTATGCTGTACAAAATTTCTTAAGTACCCGCAACGGATGAGTTTCTCTATCTCGTCGCGGAGATTATTACAATGTTCGGTACTATGACCGTGGTCTTTATGGAAATTGTAGTACAAGTTTTTGTTCCTCTTGTTTGGGCTCCCCTTTAGGCGAGGTGGCCACTTTACGTATGGGGCGTCTTTGATCGTCATCAAGATCTTAGCCCGCTTCGTATTCAAGGGCGTGTAGTCTATCCGACCTGCCACGGGAGCTCGAAATGGCTGGCTTGGTTTCGACGCTCGAGCTGGATCCTTTCAGCTGTCTCCTTGATTGGGGAGTTCTTCTCTCTTTCTTTTTTAAAACCCGCCCCTAGTCCTTTGGTTGATCTCCTCCTCCGTTCACATGAACTTGTCCGCGAGCTTAAAGAACTCAGCAATGGTCGCAGGCTGGTTGGCCACTATGTGCCACTTGAACTCCTTGTGTGTCACCCCCATCTTGGCCGCCGCGAGCTGAACTGCGAGGTCCAGGCATGGGATCTGTAGGCATGCATCATTAAACCGCTTGATGTAGCTGCGGGTGGGCTCCCCTTCCTTCCGGACCATGCTGAGGAGGCTCTCCTCGGTTCGAGGGCACCGTTTGCTGGTGACGAAGTGCACGGTGAAGACCTGCACGAACTGGGCCCAGCTCCTTATTGACCCGGGGGCCAGGTTCCTGTACCAGGTGCGAGTCACTCCTCTAAAGGTGGTAGTGAAGGCTACGCACATACAGGACTCGCTGGCCCTAGCCAGGTGCATCTGGGACTGGAAGGCATCGACATGGTCGCTGGGGTCAAAGGACCCATCATACTTGTCGAGTGGGGGGAGTTTGAAGTCTCCGGGCATAGGAACTGCAAGGAGTTCTGATGACCGGGGGGAAGGGACTGAGAGGATAGGGGCAGCGTTTACCTCGTCCGAGCTCGCTTCTTTACCTTGGAGCTCGGGTAGAACGCGGGTTGCAGTTCGGCGGCTTCGCCGATGGCGCCTCTACTGCTTGGAAGGCCCGGCGTTGGCACTGCTTGCCTCAGTGTTCCCGAGCTCGATGGGCCTGGACTGCTGGAGGTAGTCCGCGGCTAAGGCGCTGAATCGGTTTTCGGTGTGCAGGGGCCGTCCTGAGAGTGCCAAGGTGATGCTGACTTGATGGATCGGGTTCTTGGTCCGCCGGCGCGTGGCGAGGTGGGGGTAGTCGCTCTCTCTCTCCTGCTAGGGGATGAGGCTTGGCTTCTAGAGGGGCTCCGATCCTGGGAGGCCCGAGCTTGGGAAGCCCGGTGGGGGCACCCGCCTTGAGGGGAGGGCTTGGCTCGCCTATCGGCGGGGTTCCGAGGTGGGAGTTGCGGCTGACTTTGAGGTAGTTGGGGGAACTGCTGCTGGTAGTGGTATTGGGATACATGGTGCAGCATCTGCTGCTGGTAGATTTGATGTTGTTGAAGCTGCTGCATTTGGGCTTGGATGGCCTGCATGCCATGCACCAGGTCATCAAGCTGGTTCTAGATAGTTGTCGGGGGAACAATGGTTGGTTCAGCAAAGGTGGTTCCAACAGAGGGAGGAAGGGGGACGTTCATGGCGGGAAGATTCACGGGCGCCACTGTTCGTGGCGCATTCAGGCTGGGGATCCCATCCACTGGAAGGGGGATGGTGAACTGTCCAATGCACACCACGGGGACTTGAAGTTGTTCCCCGGTGCCGTTCATCTCCGTGCTACGTCCGGCATTGCTGGAAGAAGCCATGGGTGTTGGGGTTTCTCGGAAAAAATGTGCTATGAAAACTTTAGAGGGAGGCTTTTAGAAGCGTTCCCACAGACGGCGCCAATTGATGGAGCGCAATCCGGTTGGTCCTAGCTGTCAACGATCTTGCCTCTAACTGGAGAAAGAGGTGCCTGAAACGGGGAAGAAAGCGAGTAGTCTCTGGGGGGAACTCGGTGAGAGTGCTCCGAAACCCAAGTTAGTATTTTCTCAAAGGCAAGATAAAAAACCAGATGGTGCAAAGTTATCACGTACCTCCATTCTTGGGGGGAAGAGGGCCTTTTATAACCACTTCGTGCACTCACTCCCAAGCTCCTGTCAAGTCGGGTATCATTACCTCTACACTTCTGCCAGTTCGGGCGTCATCACCTCTGCTGGGGCAGACAACCGCCACTGCTCTCTTTGTCGGAGCCGTCTCTGTAACTGGAGGTGGAGGTGGCAGGTGATCGTTGAAGTGCGGCTATCAAGCATCAGATCCTAAGTCAGTCAGGCGCGCCGCCTCAAGATACAGACTCCTTTGGTGTCAGGTACGGTTGTTCAGTTCAGCGGCCTGGAGACGAAGTGCCGGAGTGGTGTGCGAGGTGAGGTCTTGAGTTCGGATAGAAGTGTGGCTCGAACTGCCCTGGGGTGGGCCAGTTCGAGTTGTTGCCCTTTGCGTTCCTCGTAAGGCTCAGGGTCAAAGGGAGAGTTCGGGCTCTTTTTGGGGAGCTTGGATCGCGGGTTCCTCTTCTCGGAGCTCGTGCCTTGAGCGCACTGCCATGCCGATCTGTCGCTCCTGCCAGGTCACCCTCGATTTGCTTCCATGTGTTGGGTGGCCAAAGGTCGGGCCAAATCTCCCTCAATCAGTTTGAAACCATAATATTGAAAGGTTAAAAGACTTTTGTTTTTTTGTTTTTTTGTTTTTTTTTGATAATAAGACAGACTCGCATGGTTGCATCCAATCCAATCATTCTCAACCTTAGCGATATTGTTCTTCCATCTTCAGTTTATCTAGATGTTTAGGTTATGTTTGGTTTGAAGGAAAAGGTAGGAAAATCCTGAATTAAAGGTTTACCTTCCTTTAACTTATATTTTTTATGGGACCCACAATTTTCACCTTCTTATTTCCCCAAAATAGCAAATGATGTATGTGTTTGGTGTTGCTTTTATTTATTAAATAAATTGACAATTAGGTGCCACATCAGCAATTGAGTGATTGGGGGAAGCGTTCAATTAAAGGGAGAATGACGGTTCAGCCCAGGAATTGATGCCAATTCATGATCCGGCATTGATGCATAGGGTGGGGGTAATTGACCTTTTGAAATGTTATAGATCTGCAATGAAAATCATAATTCTGTAATGGGCCTTGATGCAACGCGATCTGATTACTCCTTGCTGGAGGATGATCTGGCTTCTAGTCGGGTGGCGAGCTAGGTGAATCTATAAGAAAGGATCAGAGAATTCGGGATGGCTAACTCGGCAAGGTCGCTCCGATGCTTAAGTTAGTAAACTGATGCGAGCTGAAAAGCTTAGAGAGCTAGAGAGATAGAGAGTAGAAAAATCACGCGTACCTTGCACCATTGGGGTTGGTGCCTTTATATACTGAAGTAGTCGTGGAGCTCACGAAAGAGCTCTGGGATATCCGGGGTGTGGAGATAGAGTTCGTTCCACTTCCGAAGGAGTAGTATACAGGTAAGGCTTATCGTTCCACTTCCAACTCCGGCGGAGTCGGGATGAGTCATCATCGTAATCTCGGAAAAGTCGAGATCTGTTAGCTCATCGTGATCTCGAGAGATCCGGGATCCGTTGGAGAGACCTCTGGAGTTGGTTACACGGGAGTCAGTTACGTGGCGATTCGAGTTGTTTGTCCCGAGCTGGTGCTTCAACCTTTTAGTTCCGAACTGGATTGAATATCGAGGTGCCTTGATGCCGATGTGAGTCTTATGCTGAGGTGGCCCTGCAACGAGGTGAATGAATACCCAAGCTGTGTTGTCATCTCTTGGTTAGGTTGTGTCCACGTGTCCCCTTTTCGCTAGGTCAGGCCAAATCACCCTTCATCAGCTTGTCCATATTTTTTCATAAATTAAAATATGATGAAAAAAAATATTGATTTGATGATAAACATAAAAAAACATCCAAGAAACAAATCACATATTATTATTATTATAAGGTTTTCAAATTATAGCAAGTAAAAGTCAGAAACTTTTTGAAAAAAAAAATGAAGTCATTAAAAATACAAAGAATGAATGATGCATTAAGGTATTAGTAAGTTTCAAAGTATCGAGACGTATTATTCTGAGACCCCTCCAATAGGCCCCTATAATGGGTGTATGTATCGAGGGTCTGACCGATTCAGAGGGTGGAGGAAACCTAAACCGGCCACCTAACCGATTTCAGAAAAATAAATAAATAAACAGTATTGATTCGTTGGATACGCCCGTATATTCAGTGTTACGAGACAAGTAGCCAACGAACAGGCCATTAGACCATGACCAACCCACTGCACCAACCAAACTCTTTGCAAAAAACGAAGAAAAAAAATGTACAGCATTCAAATGATCAAGAACCGTGCTCCTTTTTCTTTCCAACCAAAGTGGGCACTTTCCATTTAATATGGACTAACTGGCTACCAATAGAACTTCTTTCTCATCCATCGTCAATGGTGAATCCGTACTGCTGCGCTTCATTTTCCGCGCCTGTCTACGCTGACGAAACAGCTGAAAATTGAACAGGTTCAAGTCAGAGTCGTTAAACATGTGAGGCAGCACCACCGGCGTGCATTTAATTCTCGCCCAAACCAAACTATTAACTACGCTTCTCCAACATTAATCTCATTTATTGCTTTTTAATCTCTCCTATATCATGCATTTGTTTTACTTCATCCGTCAGTCTCCTGTTATCATCATATTTTTCTCCTCCTTTCTCTTCCCTTCTCCATTGAAAGAGGAGGACCGGAGGAGGAAAAGAAAAGTACAAGTATTCCCTCTTTTTTCAGGAGATAATTTTTCTGAGCTTTTATTTTTTTTCTTTTTATATATTTCCAATAGCTTTGTGTTTTCGAGGGGTTTGGAGAGATGGGTTTCTTTTCAGTGGTGACAGGGATACCTGGTCCAAGTGGGTACGGATCGGCTTCAACTGCTGAGCAGGTTACAGCGGGGATTGATGCAAGAAATCTCAGTGCTATAGTCACTGGTTAGAGTTTCTTTTCATCCCCACCCCCTGTTTTCCTCTGTTTAGTTTTTTTTTTTTTTTATTTGATTTGTTAGGGTAGAGGGGTATCGGTTTTCAGTAATTAATTAGTTTGTTACTGCTGGTTTTGTGTTCCTGTTTCAGTTCTAAAATGATTGCTTAGCCTCTGACACGAGTTTTTAGGTTTGCGCGCACGATTCGTTTCTTGTTCAGTTTCTACTGTGATTCTTTCCTTTTATGCGTTTCTGTGGTTTTTGGTTGCTGATTATGCACATAGATGTGTACGACTTCTTTCACATCCATCGCGTTTTTTTTTTTACTGTTTTCAGTTTTCCTGCTTATCGAGGACTTCACAGTAGAGAAACCTCATTTGGACTTCTGTTAACCCTTGAGAATCCATGTTTTGATTCCTAATTTATAATGGATAAGCGATCACCATCTCATTATTGGAGTCTAAGCACGGGATTTGCTACTTTAACTTTAATGTGTCATTATTCAGGGCTCTGGTAACAACTTTGTTGGGTATCCCATTTTGATTCCCCTGAAATTTGTTATCATTACGTTGGTTCGGTATCTCTTGAGGATTATAATTGTAGTTTGAGCATAAATTAAAGCCATCGTGCCTTTATTTTCGTTTTCTAATTTAAGGGTTGCTTCTTATTTGTCTTTGTCTTTCCTCGTTTCAATTCGTCACAAATACAAAAAGGTGGAGCGAGTGGAATCGGTCTGGAGACAGCAAGAGTGTTGGCACTTCGTGGGGCTCATGTTATCATTGGTGCAAGAAATGTGGAAGCTGCAAAAGAAGCTAAAGAGCTAATTCTCAAAGATAATGCATCTGCTCGTGTGGAGGTCTTGCAACTCGATCTTTGCTCGATGAAGTCAGTTAGAGCATTTGTAGATAGCTTCAATGCTCTCAATCTTCCCCTCAATATGTTGATGTAATATCTCCCCAAATCATCTTCTTCCTCTGTATTAGAACTAGATGAGCTTTTCTAATTTTTAATACATACTTTCCTTGATCATTTCAGAAACAACGCTGGCGTTATGTTCTCTCCTTACCAACTTTCGGAGGATGGGATAGAGATGCAGTTTGCAACAAATCATCTTGGTAAGTAAAGTGCGTATAGAATTAATTAGGATTGGATACTTGGCATATATATAGCTCTCTCACTTCTCTCTCTGTTGCTCATTTGTACAGCCATCCCTCTTATCCGTGTTCTGCTTTGAGATTCATTTCTGGTGAGATTGATTGGTTTTCACTCTTCTTGTCAGGTCATTTCCTCTTAACCAATCTTCTCCTTGATAAAATGAAGACAACTGCAAGAGTTTCTGGGGTCGAAGGAAGGATTGTGAATTTGTCATCAATAGCACACGTCTACACTTACGAGGGGGGAATACGATTTGAGGGCATCAACGATGAATCTGGGTATGCTACTTCAGATGATTAGATGCATTCCTCTTTCTTATTCTTTTTGGTTTTCCCAAATCCTTTGACCTTTTGCTCAAATCAGATATTCTGATAAAAAGGCATATGGACAATCTAAACTGGCGAACATCTTACATGCCAAAGAACTCTCTCGTCGCTTACAGGTAAATTACCAGCACTTACTCTTTCTTGAATGTGGCGTTGCAAAATTTACAAAAAGATTATAATATTTTAAATAAGTATCATGGTTTTTTTAACCTATATGAACTAAAGACGAGATCAAATCAGCCTCCCCCAACGTTCCACAGCATATCCCCACATTCCCCATTATATTGGAAATATCTGTTGATGATGATGATATCATCATTTCTGATATTATCATCGGGGGGAGATGTTTCTAAGCGAAAATGTGATGTAGGACATTATGAGGGATTGATTTAAACTCACTAAAGACATGCAAACCATAGGAAGGGAATACCAAATAAAGAAAATAAATATTCCAACTTAATGTTGCGAGGGGATACAATCTTAGAAAGTAAATCTATAAATCAAATTACTATTTCTCTTGTTGACAGCCAAAACCCATCACATATCATGTGTTATTTTGGGGAAATAGGAGGGTGGAAGTTGTGGGTCCCACAAATTATATTTTCTTTATGTATTACTTATCATTTTAACTTTTTCATTTGGAATATTTAAAAAATGACTATTTTAATAATAACTTTTAATAAAAAGGTCATTAAATTACAAAGAAGACATGCAAGTGACAGAAAATAAGCGATATGTACTCACTTACCTAGGTAAAAAAAAACCTAATGGGGCTTTAATTAAGCTGTGTTTGGATTGATAAAAAATAAGTGAAAGCCTTCCCTTAACCCACTTTGTTACTCTTACTTTTTTTTATCAAACCAGACATATCCTTAGTTTCAAAAAGTTTCACAAATTGCTTTGGAAGAATTTGAGGCACATTATTAATGTATGCTATAACTACACATGGCATGTCCCAGCCCTACAAGATGGGATCTTAAATTGAATGTCTTTGTCTGGGAATGGGCTAACAGGGACTATCTGGAAATTTGTGCATATGTGCACTTAAAAGTGCTTCCGGTTGCTGTGAGACCAAAAAGAATTAAAGCACTGTAAAGAAATGCTAATTGAGAAATGAAATAGCAATACTGCATGACAAAGGTTCTCTTAACATCATGGTTTTCGAACCGTTGTTGATCCAGACGGTCAGACTGTTTGGCCTGTAAATCGTTTAGGAAATCGGTTTCATTTTACTCTAAATCTAGTTTTTGACCAAAAATTGTTGAATCGATTAACAAATTATTGACTTGGGTGATTGAACCATTGACCCATTGACCCGTTCAACGATTTTTTATCATTTTAATTATTTTTTATTTTTTTAAATTATTTTGTCAGAACGAACTATCTATTCAGACCAAATGATTGAACTATTGACGCAAAAACTAGTGGCCAGAACGATTCCGATTCCGAATAATTTTTTAAAACATTGCTTAACATCAATATGAAATCTAATTGCAAGCGTTTCATCATACTAAGAGTCGAGGAAACCACATAATGGATACTTGGGATATGCTTGTTGCTTCGCCTAAATGTAATGTTATGAAAACCTTTGGAAACTTTGATTAAATCAAATGGAAGTAAGAAAAAAATGGACAAGTAGACTGCACTCTGCCTCAGAATTTTGAATTCCACTGTAGATCTATGAAAATTCAAAATTTCAAACACCTTCACCTAAACATCAATATCTGCCCGTGTATGACATCAATTTCGAGCTAGCACCTACCCCAACTGTATAGTAGATTTAGGATTTGTGGGGATGGATTGAACAGTAAAAACCAAAAAAAAAAAAAACTAAGGGTCTGTTTGATTCACAATTAGAATTGGAATTGGAATCGGAATTGGAATGGTCCATTCCCATAGTCTGTTTGGTTCAGACAGAAATGGGAATGGAAATAAGAATGAACAGGAATGAAATTTCATTCCCAAGGGAGAGGCAGAGAATGGCCATTCCCTCAAATGAGAGAATGTCATTCCAACAAGAATGAGAATGAAATTCCCATTCCATCCAATCAAACAGTTATAACTAAAAGGCATTTCCTCCAACCACGACAATTTTAGAGACCTGTCATATTAACTGATTTTTTATTTCAACCACCGGTATTTGGTATCTAGTTGAGGTTATATATGGCAGTTGGTTTTAGGAAATATTGAGTCAAACTATACCACAAATTAATCTATCAAAAAAAAAGTATATACCATAGATTACAATCAATTCAACATTAAATGTCCCCAATGCAACTTGCCTCGGAAGATGCATGCCCTCTAGACAGAGTTCAGATCTGCCAAACAAAACAACTTTGGGCACATCAACATTTTATGCCATAGGTTTAGAAATATTTTATTGAAGGTTTTACACTTTTACACTGCACATATTTCATATTTGTATTTACACTCTTATCGCAAAATGAGCATTAAGTATTGAAAGCAAGGTTTTTAAAACCGGATTAGACAGGAAATCTTCTTAGGGTCTGGTTTTAGGGTTAAACGGTCTGATCATTCAGTCTGAATTGATAACTTGTTCTGGTAAAAATTTTAAAAAATACAAAAAACAGTCAAAAACTATTTTGGGTTAAATGATTCAATGGTTTGACTGTTCGAGTAACTGTTTGTTGAGGCAAAAAGCAATTTTAGGTAAAACCGAACCGATCAAATGACCAGTTCCCGGGTTTTTTTATCTGACCGTCCGGTCCAATCTGTTTTTGAAAACATTATTGAAAGCAAGTGGTACAAAACTGCAATGTGTTAGCACTGTTTTTATTTGTTACTAGGATAACAAGTAACAAAAATAGTAGTTTTCTTAACGACTAAATATACGGTTGTCGTTCAGTCGGCCAATGTAGGAAAACAGATGAATAAGGCTTTGGAAGTAGAAACTTTTTTTTATTGATTTTTTTTTTTTTTTTTTTTATGGAGCTACACATCCGGGGTAGCCCATCAGCCTCCCTTAACCCCCCAAACTGGTAACGGGATTTGATATCAGGTCTCTATTTGGACAAGTGATAGATCCTACCATGATCACTGTCAATTAAGTAGACCTCTTGGCTTGCTTGGTCTGACCCGTTCTTTGTCAGGTCTGAGTGTATTTTGAGACATGTGGGTTTGGGCTCGGGGTCCATTTGACCAAACAGAGCCATAACACAACGAACCAGCTCGCCATTGGTGTTTTGAATTTGAAATAAGTTGGTTGCAGTTGATGCGAATTCTATCTTCAATTTCTACATCATCTATTTACACAGATCAATGTCATATATAAATCTGTCTTATTGATTTGCCTGGTGTAGTTCAAATTTGAATGGGCTACTCAACAACATAACATAGATGATTTCTGAGTCAATTAGTAAGACAACCCAATGAGCCTTACCCTATACTTTGCGTCAGCATTTCTTATACCATAGCCTTTTACTTTCATACTATTACACATTTAACATTTTTTTTATTATACAGCTTCTATCCTATGTTTATACCTCATTTGTATATTCGTTTATTGAACATGTTTTATCATCTGGAAAACAGGAAGAGGGTATAAACATTACAGTGAATTCTCTTCACCCTGGGATAATAATGACAAGCTTAATGAGGCACTCTGCTCTTCTGATGAGTATGTTTTCTTTAACTTCTGAAATAGGAATACCAATCAATTAAACTACGGAGAAATGAAATAATATCATCAATTCTAATTTTCTATTCTTGCAGAGGTTTTAAGATTATTTACATTTTACTTCTGGAAGAACATACAGCAGGTAAGCAACCATTTCTTTTTTCTTTGTCAAGAGTTTGTATGTATGCCTAGATTTCAACAAGTTTAGGGAATTGACGAAATAGCTTATCACTATACCAATTCCTTAAGATGTCATTTTTATGTCAAATAATATCCTACTTCCTAGTTCCTACATACACTAGAGTCTACAGAAATTGGCTCTAAGTTTGTCCATTTATAGTTTTATTCTTCTCCGAATTCCAATAACAGAAGTTTTGGTAGCCAACAGGATACAGAGAACAACATGAATTAATGGGGATGTCTCTAAATTTACAAGGGGTGGGATTTGTATATCAACATTATTCTATCTATAACATGAATGGATATATTAAGTGGGGAACATGAAAAACACCTTTCAACAATGATGGATGGGTACTAATTCTTACTGATCGCGCAGGGAGCAGCCACTACCTGCTATGTTGCGCTCCACCCAAGTGTAAAAGGAGTAACAGGAAAGTACTTTCTGGACTGCAACGAGGTCAAACCAAGCACGTTGGCTACAGACTGTGGGCTGGCAAAGAAACTGTGGGATTTCAGTGAAAAGTTGATTAGCTCTTCTCAAAAGAGTGGAAATTAGTGCTACTGTCGAGACATACCGATGAGACTAATATATATCGTTTTTATCCAGAAATATAATATGGAAGTAGTATATAGAGTAGGGTTTGGTATTTAATTTGTTGCTGGTCCCTCGATCCTGGTCTATAACAGTATTCTGCCTCTGCGTGGTTCTTCGTTCACTCTTATTGTAATCCATGGATTTCAAAAAGAGTTGGCTGGGTGTGAGATTTAATTAGTTTGATTAATAATTAATCTATCGGAGATATGAAATCATTTGAAAGAGAGCCTTCTTATTCGCCTTATTGCATGGCTCCTCAGTTACATATGTTCCTCTAATCTGTAACCAGGCTGCGCATGCTTTTAGCCCAGACATGCTCTTTCCTGTAATTCTTCTCAAACCTGGTCTCGTGCTCCAGAGTTTCTCTCCTCACTCTGAGCAAAAGATGTAACTGAGATTTCTTAGTTGAATGAATTTGCCTGCGGGCTTTCAAAAGAAAACCAGGTACAGCTTACAACCTCTGATGATGAAGAAGGGGGACAAATAGGGGTGTCAATGGACGGGCTTGGGATGGACTCTGTCTGAATTTAAAACAATTTGAATTGGTTGGATGGTCCAATAATATATATTGAATTGGAGCAGTCCAGACTTAATACTCTAAAGTATTTCTGGGATTGGATTGAATCTGGTCCATCTTTAATAGATTTATATTAGATTGGATCGGTCGAATTGAACCAACATCTGGTCCATTGACATTATGAATAGTGGTGTCAATGGACTAAATTTGAATTAGACGCAATCTGATTTAAAACTAGTATGAACAGGTTGGACGAATTAGACCAGTCAAGGCAAAATATTCAACGGATTGGCTTGAACCTGGTCCATTACACGTAATGGACTCATATTGAACTGGATTAGGTTGGACGGATATCTGTCCATTGACAGCCCTAGCATTCTAGCAACAACAAACAAGAGTACTCGACTAGGTTGTTGAGAAGGATTTCGACATGCATGGCTATTATGTCAAGGAACACTTGAAATTCGTTCATTAGGCTCAGTTTGGACGAATGTATATAAGGGTGGCGAGTGGAGTGTTTCATGAGTTATATATATATATATATATATATATATGTATATATATAGAGAGAGAGAGAGAGAGAGGTGGTGAATGGAGATTATGATGAGTTATTTAAGTTTGATTTGGTTTGGTATATAAATCGAGTGAGTTTCGAGTCAAAATCGAATTCGATATAAATTATTCAGCCTCTAACCAGCAAACCTAGACTAATATGAATATTAAAAAATAACAAAAACAGTGCACTTGGCAATATTTATTGGAAATACAAAATCAGGTTTTGTGGACGATACTATTAGCGGTGTTTTGTTTCCTATTCTCAGTTTTCTAAATGGTGTCATACTCATTGATATAGATAGAAATGATGGTTTGGTTGGTGCACCTCAGTCCCCACGAGGACGCATTTGATCTGTTGAGTTAAGCTCATAAGCCTGGACTCCACCGGAACCAGTGTCGTCTTCCCACAAGCCCATGGCTCGAACCACACACGCCGAACTAGCAACAACAACGGCGGCGAAGATAGGTGGAACGAAGAAATCTATCTTAGACCTTTTGAAGAAGTGAGCCGGCAAGCACAACACCTCTCCCGGTACATCTAGCGGAACCCTAACGGTGCCCTGTTCCGACTTGCACGCACGAGAAAACCGAGACGATGGAGATATGGCCGACACGAAGGCGATCTCCGGAGAGAAAGAAGCCAGCACGACGGTTACCGCCAATGTAACTGTCCAAGCGGTGGTATAGAGTAGCAGCGGCCGCCGCGTCGTCATCTGCCGGAGGATAGATTGAACGACGAAAGGAAGAGACATGTATGTACTGTACTATTCCAAGGGGTGTCTCTTTTATTTAGGATCTTCTCTATCGCTTGTTATCTATATATAATATAGATGATCGAAAAGAGAAAAAAAGGGGAGGAGCAGATGAGAATCTAATCTCAATTTCTTCTTGATAGAACGATAGTTGCAGTTGAATGATGATGGAAGAAGAGGAGAGAGAGAGAGAGGGAGAAGAAAACACGACGTTTGATCTGGTATGATATGTATGATTTACTCGAACGTTTATTTTGTGTGATGAGTTCAGGGGTGATGATGGCTTTTATGTGTTATATCATCAAATCAGAAGAAAACATTTATCTTGTTTCTGTTTTTGCTTTGTCTTTCTTCTCGCGTTCGCCATTGTGGTTCGGATCAGGTAGGCACGACGCTGTAAGCACGTTAAATGAGCACGTAGAACCGGCTGCCCGTTTTACGGTTTTTCCGGTCCACTTCTGAAAGACTTGAACATCGATCTTCTTCAATTATAAATTTACAACACGCCCAGGTGGAGGTGGATGCGACACGCGTCCTGGCGATTTCGGTTTGAATGATAGTTAACACGGATATGCTACAGTGCTACCCAGGTAAGCAAAATTCATCGTTACATATAATCATGAGTAGTGGAAGAAAAAGAAGATAAAAGATATATGCATCTAGTGATTGAAATTTAAGGTTTTATCAGAATTTATAAAATTAATATGTAAAAGTTAAAGAGGGGTAGCTGCTTCTGCTTGTAAAAAACCGATGCACATGTTCGTTTGAGAATTGAGATAAGCAGTTGGACGCTGATGATCAAATTAATGTGATTAGGTATGAATAAGTGACATGAATCGTTGACGAAGTAGATAAATATCAATTTCCCTGGGCTCAAAGTATGCGATATTATCGGCATTAATAGATGGGATTTGGGATTCTTCCAAATACCCATTTTATCTCGTGTATTGGTGAGGCTAAGAGCAGCAGTGAAAGTTGGGGTTTGGGATTCTTCGACTACTCTGCAAGGAATGGAAACTCTGTTTGGGAGAGGAACCTGAGTAATAAGTGATCTTGTTGTCACTCATATCAAGGAAGACGTTATGAATGACGAGCTTCACATGTTTATGAGAAGTATATACGGATCTGGTCTCATTGTTCGATTAATGTCACACTTATCTTCCACCTTAGCTTCCTATTTGGCATTTCTTCGATTTTTTTCTTCTATAATTCGGGAAGAAAATGAATCGTTCTTGAAGTTCATCTGTCATTGCAGAGACAAACGCATAATCATAGTACTTGAGGTTCCCGGAGTGTTGGACGTTGAGGTAAGTGTAAATCTGCTAGGACCAGGTGGGCTCAATGTCTCTGAAGTTGGAGGTGAACCAGGCGAAGACTGTCATGTCATCGGAGGCAAATCACAATGGAACTTCTGTAGTAAAATGGAGAAAGAAAAAGTAGAAGCAAGAGGGAGGAGTGCTATGAATCAAGAATTAATTAATACCCATTTCTTTTGATACATGCCAATGGCGAGACTTGAAGGAATGGGAAGGCGGTATAGCATGGAATAACCATAGAGCTTTGGTATTTGTAGAAATTCATTGACAAATATTTGCAGAGAAGTAGATACTTGCTAAAGATCAATCGCTTCGGTTATCGGAAGAGGAGGAGAAACCTGTGCTTGGGCTTGGAAAAAAATATTGGAGGCAATTATTAATAGCAACGCTATAGTGATTGTGAGAGATAATAATAAAAATTTGTGGTTTTAATATAACCTAATTTGTGAAATCGGATAGGAAGGAGAAGAAGGTGGGAGAGCATGGAGGTGGTAAGTATTAGTTTTAGACCATACACGTGGATGAGTGCCGTCAGTCTGTAACTCCGAAGGACCCAATGCAGAAAAACGCTCTGACATTAATAGAGGTAATTTTGTAATTTTCATAATTTTCTGTCGGAATCACTAACGAAAGGAGGTTTCTGTTGATTTTTTTAAAAGTTGAAGGGAGGTTTTTGTTAAAATAAAACTAAAGGGAAATTTTTATTATTGTCAGAAACTTCAGGTGAGGTTACCCTACAAAAAAAGTGTGTTTGGGCAACAATTGTTCTAGAATTTGTGACTCCATTCGACGTCATCTTGTTGCACTGCACCCCCTACTTTTTATGTCTTGTTTCTTCTAAAATCTCGGTATTGCACAAATGGGATGTCTCCGAAGATATCAATAATTAAGTTGCACTAATCAGGAGTTATTTCATTTTTTTTCCAAGGAAAATTTCCCATTAGTATCCTGTACTTTACTTTAGGTTTAGTGTCACTTTGGTCCTTAAATTTTAAAATGCGATGATTCAGCACCCAAATTTTTAAAACATGTTAATCTAGTACTTGTCATTAACCATCCCATTAAACAACCATTAAGTGACATTTGAAAAGATACAAATGTCCTTTGAGTGTCATCTAATTTTCTTTATCAACCATTCAAACGTTGATAAAAAATGAAGAGCTCCAAATCCTTGTCTCTTCCATTCAAGTAAGTTGGAATCACGTCTCAGTGGCCTATCTGATGACCTCAACTATTTTGAATAGAAAAGGCAAGGATTTGAGATTGTTCAATTTTTACCAAAGGTTTTTATCATGTCTAATAATTTTAACAGTAATTGATCTTAAACAATCATCTACCAACAACCAATCCTCTAAAGTCTAAAACCATAATTAAGTTGATGAAAAAATAGAAGGAAAAAAAGTAATATCCAGAACAATTGGTTACTCATGCTTGTCTGAACAGATATACCAACTGGTGGTAATTCAGTTAGTAGGATCTCTAACTCGTAGCAGATACCTGGAATCAAATCCCGCCACCACTATGGTTGTGGGGTTAAAGGGATGGAGGGTGGGCTAGAAATCAAATTTGCTCCTCACAGAAAACACTTCACACCAATCTCACAGCACTTGCAACTACACATCTAGATGTCGTTATTCATGGAGAGATATTCCCAATGCATAGTTGCAACATGTTGTAAGATTGGTGTCAGGTGTGCTCTATGAGGAGCAAATCCGGGATTGTCCTCTGACTAAATGCAATCTCAGTTTCAACCATCTGTCTCAAGCCTAAAGTACCACTCAGTGTACTCAGAAGAAATATCAGCTCCTAGTAATCCTCCACAATAACCAAATATCAAGGCAATATCCCCGTCCCCACCTGCTCCATTGGCCATTGCCAGTCCTATTTGGCGTCCCTCCCATAATAGAGGTGCTGAAATTGGTATTTATCAAAATTCATGGGTGAATTCTGATTGGTCAAAGTTTCAGTACCATGTCTTTCCATTATCATAAAATTTTCCTTTAATAAAATTCAACTAGAAATGTTGCCCATTGTTAATATGGGTCACATCATTTGAAGAGATTAAATCAAGTTTTATTTATTCATTTTTATTTTAATAAGTTTTTGGCAGATATATTTTAATAAAACTCAACTAGAAATGTTGCTCATTGTTAATATGGGTCACATCATTTGAAGTGAGTAATTTTTTATAATGAAGGTAATTGTTCCCTTTTTTAAGAATAAAAATAACCACTTCCTAAAATCATTTTAAGTTAGATTTTATATTTAATTTAAGAGATTAAATCAGGTTGTATTTATAAAATATTATTTCAATTTTTCAATAATTTTTTTGGTAGATATATTTTAATAAAATTCAACTAGAAATGTTGCTCGTTGTTAATATGGGTCACACCATTTGAAGTGAGTAGTTTTTGAGAGTGAAAGTAGTGGCGGAGCCAGGAATTTCCTTTTGGGGGACCAAGTTAAAAAAGAAATGGGGCAAGAAGGTTTGGGTCTATTATAGATAAGATAAACAATTTCCTTTTTTTTTTAATTTTAGGAGTTGGAGAACATTAGAGAGTGATCCTTAACATTCCAGTTCAAGTTTTGGGGGGGCCAATGACCCACTTTACTAGTTTTTGACCCTGCCTCCACTTACTTAAACAAGGACCCCCACTAGAGGTGTAAATCGGGTCGGCACGGCACGGCCCGTAGGTGGCCCGTGGGCCATCCCGAGCCGTGCCACCCTCCCCTTGGATAACTTGGGGGGTCGGCCTGGCACGGCCCAAACCCGTGCGGGCCTGTGTCATTCTACGGGCCGGGCTGGTCCATGGGCCAAGCCTTGGGCCAGGACGGACCATGGACTGGGAGAAAGCTATTTATTTAAAAATTTTGAAAAAAACTTAAAATTTTAATTTTATATTAATTTTGATGTATACAATTGCTTATATATACAATAATTAAATAAATTAATATAATAAAATTGAAAACAATTATTTATTTTATTAACATATTATATATATACATAAATATAAAATATATAAATATTATATATAATATATATGGATCGTGCCAACACGCGGACTGCGGGCAGCACGACCAAGCAGGTCGTGCCCGTGGACCTAAAACCCCAGGCCCAGCACGGCCCATACAATCATGTCAGGCCTGGCACGGTCTGTGTGCCATTGTGCCAAGCCATGCTAAGCCGGTCCAAAGTTGGGTCTGGTCATGTCGGGCTACGGGCAACATGGCCCGATTTACACCTCTAACCCCACCAATATACTTGGCTCCACCCTGATTGAAAGTAAATGGTCCTTTTTTTAATAGAAGTAGCTATTTACTAGAATTATTTTTCTTGAGAAATGAACAAGTATATGTCCAAACTAAAAGGCTTATATTTGAGAGTGAAAGAAACCACTCTAAATCACTCTCTAGATGTATGGATAGCATAGGCTGACCGCTGATGCCAAAAGGGAAGTGAAACTAAACTAGGTGTGGAGTTTAGATAGCCCATGGTTGATTTTTTTTTTTGAAAAATTCAAAAAAAAACCACAAAATTTAAGGGATAAGGAAAGCAATATGAGAGAGAATAAACTGAAGTATACGACTGCATTTTAAGCATATACTATAAACGATAAAGACTCCTTAGGTGTGCAAATGGATCGGATCATGATCCAATCCTATTTGGTTGAATTCGAATCACCCTTGTTTGGATTTTTTAGATCGGATTCGGATCATCCTCATCTGATCTGATACATATTATATTTATAAATATAAATATATACATGTTATTTATTTATTTATAAATTTATTTAACTATTTATTTTTTTATAAAAAAACATGTATATATATAATGAAAATAATTAAAAAATACTCATATTTTTTGTTTTTACTTTATTTAAATTAGTATATTTTATTTTTTTAATAATTTATTAATTTTTAAAGAAAACAAGTTAAATCAAATCAGATCCAAAGATCTGACTTACCGATAGGATTCGAATTCAAATCGAACCCTGTCAAATCCGATTGAATCTTGGATCGAATTGAATCCGACATAAACAATATCGGATCGGATTCGAATATATCCGTTTGCATCCCTACTCCTCCTCTATGGGCACATTTTAGCCTATGTATGGACAGAAGGATATGACCTTTTTTGTAGGCCCCATGAGTATATGGTCTTGCTTGGGAGGTCTAAGCTGAAGATTCGGCTAAGCTGGTTCAGCTGCTTTGAATTGTTTTGGATAAAGCTATTCAAAGAGGCTAAAACAAACAGCCCTTCAAATGACTGATGATGGACAGTCGATTTAGACTTCAGATTTTTCACCAAGCATGGCTTATAGGCTGTCCGTGAATAACCCAACTTGAAAAGCCAGAAGCCGCTGCGCTTTAGCCTTCGTAATGGGATTGCAATAGCAGTTAAGACACCTTCCACAATTGCAATTTCCTTCAAAATACTCTCTTGGCTGTGTTTGTATGCACGGAAACAAAGGAACTATTTCTCTAAAAAATAATATCAAATAGGAAAAACGACTATTTGCCTATTATGATTAATCTTGGGTTGGAAAGCATTGGGTAATGACCCCTTTTTTATGATTCTGATTATACAGTGGGTTGGATAACAACATGGTGCATCAATGCAAGCGGGATAAAAATATTCAGTAACAATTGTCATGTGAAGTCACTGTATTACCCAGAGCCAGAAGAAAATGTCCTTTCCACCCAGAGTGTCAGAAATAAAAACCCGCACACTGAAACACAGAGGGCGATAAGCATCAGCACCAACATTGCCTTTAATGTGATGTGCGGGCTCAGAAAGAATACAACTGCTATTGATGCACTTTGCCACACCTTAAGCTGTGCGAATGCCCCTTCCTGTCCCCAAAAGAAACCAGACATTTATTTTACAATCACAAAGATCAAGAGGTGCAGCATAGAAAGAATAACCAGGATGAACATAGATGCAATCATTAAATCAATACAATAAAAATGTGATCATATTATAAATAGTAGGGAAGGTTGAACTGAATAAAATAGTAAATTGTATCACAAATCATAACATTGCTATTTGCTTCTGCTTTTTAGAAATCTATCAAAACATGCACAATAAAATCTTAAATATATAAAGAAAAGTGATTTTGCTCAATTTTTAATCCATATTACCATGTATTTAATAATAGAGTTTACCGCTTCTACATGAAAAGTATAAGATAATATAATTAAGCTCGACTTTAAAGTCAACTAAACACACATGGATAACTTTTTTAATGTACATGTCATGGAAAATAAGCTGTCAGATTTCTTAATAGGTCTTTAATAACCTAAACAAATCTTATTCTAATAAGGGTTTTGATACAAATGTCCCTTCAAAAAAATTAAAAGAAACAAAGGAATGGCAAAGTAGAGAACCATGTCTAGCCTTATCCCAACTATATGGGGCCGACAATCATAAGAATCTTCTAAGGGAAAAAAAAAACATGACCCTTGAGATCATATTAAGCCTGCAACCCGTTTCCAAGATCATGACACATGTAAGAGTCTTCAATGGATCTTTGTGACCTTGTATTTTCTGATGCCAAGGTATAAACTCTTGTATGCAGTAAGTTGGACTAAATTGAAAATCTTCAACTAAACTACTTTTAAATCAAAAGTTGTAAGCAGAAACTCCTGTGAAAGCAAGAAGATGTTCCAAGAGGACAAAGACAATTATGAAGATCACATTGGATTGGACCAACTATTCTGGACTTCGTTCTAAAATTCCTTGTAGACCAAGACTTGACGCATTGGATAGAGATCATTGGGGATAAAAACCCCCTTGCAAGAGAGTTTCACTAAGGCCTTTATGCAAAGGATTTAAGGTATTTCAAGTTTCATCATTCTGTATAGTTAAAAAGACGTGTAAACACGGAATTTACTACACTATGACAGGGGCAAAAGATATCTCAAAGCTTTTTATGTTTATGTATAAAATACAAATAAAATCCTAGCCACAAGGTTAATAATGGTATCAGGATATATCTGTTTCACATCTCCAGAGGACAATTGTTTAAAAGAGATGTTAAATCAGTTTTTTACTCCTGATCATGAAAGAATATCTCATTTTGTAAAATAGGAGTCCGGATCTGCTGACCACAACACATTGCTGGCCACATTCATCCAGCCGTACAATAGGGACATCAGCTATATATAGTACAAGAGATGTTCCCAATGCCAGCTGGATGAACGTGGCCAGCAATGTGTTGTTGTCAGCAGATCTGAAGTTCCAAAATGGAGAAAATGGAAGAACTATGCAATGATGCATTCTCTTTGGTTCATCATCAATGGATCATTGCCAGACTCTTCAAAAGCTCCAGAATGGTTCAACAAGGAGAGTCATCCACCCTTTTGTTTGTATATCGCGGAAACTCTTGGCATGGTCAGTCTATAGGCAGTGAAAGAAGGGGCATTTTTACCAATTTGGTGAATAAGCTACTTTCTATGCCAAAGTTAGCCAATATTTTTTTGAGAAAGGTAACCCATTTGCAGTTTTATAGCATGTATTGTGTTCTTGTGATTACACGTGGTATAGGCACTAAATATCATCCTTTTGATAAGTGAGACCTGCAGCAAAGAGGCCTAATGTTTCAAAGCTTTCAAGGCTCTATGTGGGTCACTTTCTAAATATTTGGTCTACTTTGAGAATTTGAGGGTCATATAGATCAAGTGTCTTTTGGAACCATGGATGGAATGATCTGAAAAAAAATCAAGGCTGACAAGTGTGAGATTATGGGCTATCCATCAGGGGAAAAAGCTGTGCAAATATGGGCTCAAGTCTGAGAACGGCCACTTCATGCTAAAAATGCAGGATGTTAAGGCAGTGGCCTTTTTTCTTTTATTGATAGATATCTGAAAAGACATTAGCATCTCGGAACAGTGTGTACTTCAAAATGGGTAAAGCTGGTCTCCTGAACTGCATCAAGATAGACCTAAACTGGGCAAGATTTTTTTTGGAAAGGTACAGAAGACAAGAAACATCGCATGATGCATGCAAGCCCAGGAAGGGTCCTCTAAAATTGATGAGTTGGGTGCATCATGGCAAATGCTAAAGATTCAGCCAAGAGCCTAATAATCTATAAATGAGAGTTACATTTGCGAATATAGATGGAGAAACCAGTAGCCATATTCTCCCTGCAGATTCATCATAAAGAGTGTTGTTTTGCAGCTTTTGCCCTCTTGTAGGTTCAGTAAATCACCCAAAGACCATGTTGTGGGTTGGCATGTTTGGACACGACAAAAGAACCAAAACAATTACTTTCTAGAATTTCAGTAGAAATAAGTGTGAGAAAACTAAATATTACCATGTCATGCCTGAAAAGAATTCCAAGCAAAGCATTGAGCTGTGTATTGAATATCCCATTTCCAATACCCAACATAGCAGCCATGAGAAGTGGGTATAAAGATCCAATCAATCCGCTAGTTAATCTGCTAAAATAGAATAAACCACAAAAGTTTCCAAATATTATAGCAGCTTCAGCTTGGACATTATGTCAAAAAATGAGTTAAAATGGAGTAATGCATAATCACTAGATTTGATCTACCAGAAGTGCACCTGTATTTCAGAAAAAGCCATAGCAGCACAATAACCTGAATAAGAGCTCCACCAGGAACTATGATAGTAATTGATGAGAGACCTGAGGTAAACTTCCCAGCAGCCAATGAACACTGAAACAAGCAATCCATTAACAACTTTAGACTAGCAAAGCAAAACGATATGTCAAAGTTACACTTGCTTCTTCAAGTTTTTTGTTCCTTAGTAATCCTGATGGATTAAAGCATTCACTTCCTATGGATCATCAAGGCCAAATATTCAGGAATTATTTCCAGGATTATAACACCAAAGCATATCAAAAAGACTTATCCCAACCATGTGGTCAGCTACAATGACAACAACAGTCCAGCAATACAACATTGTTATAAAAGTTTGGTTCTTTAATGTGAAACAATGGGATTTACAGTGTTCTTTTGATGGAGACCAACATGATATATTTAATTTGTTTGTGGCATCTTTCAACTCTGTCCAGCCGGAAAGAGAGAGAAGATATTATGAAAATGATTGGGGGCATCTGTCCTTTGGCCTGTTTGGAAAGAAAGAAATACAAGAATCTTCAATCACAAATCACAGAAATTTAACATCCTCATGATTTTATCAGTTAAAATGGCATATGGGCTCTAACAAGAGAGGACCCAAAGAGATGTCAGCAACTTCATCATAAGAAAATGGCAGTGAATACAAACATCTCCCACCCCCCTCCAAAAAAAGGAAAAAAAAAAAGAACAGAGACGTCCTTGATTCAAGAACAAAATCAACCAATTAATGAGAAGATTAAACTAATTTTTGGTGGATGCTCAGTTGGCAATGAATCATACAAGGAGCAATCAGATAAGGATACATTGAAAGCAGAATATTTTTCCTTATTGCAAGAACTGAAGCTTGGTTTCTCTCTTGGCTTTGATAGGATTATGGTGGTAACTGAAAAGCCACTCAAAGAAGCTAGATATCAGTATTACATCATTTAATCAGAGAAGCTAGATATCGGCAACCAGGTTGAATAACGTGTTAAGGTTATTCCTAGATCTACAGATTTTATGACAGATGCCCAAACAAGAGAAGCTGTTGGGAGGGCAGAACCTTGTGGGTGAGGTGGGGTGTGGGGGTGCTCAGCCATGGATAGCTCCCTTATCCTAGCTGGTTTTGTAAGGTTTTATCAGTAACATTCACCGTTTTCCCCTCATATGATGTGATCAGATGTAGGGACTTCACATAAGGGTGATCATTCCTGGCCTGCTGGAAACCTGGCTTGGCCCAGCCAACAAATTTCTGGGCCTGGGCCCTGGCCCAAGTTTTCTTTGTGCAGACCCAGCCCGGCCAATCAAGATTCAAAATTTCGACACGTATTGTATTGGCAAGTCTCCAAAACCCCAAATAAAGGGCGTTTTGGATTTTGAGTTGTTTTAGGGTGTAGACATGCCTAAAACCAACCCCCTGGAACAACTTTAAAAAAAAAAACTAAAAAAAAAGAGTTATTAAGCATCAAAACACCCAATAAACATGTTCATGCATATTGGGTGTATTAATATCTTGAGCATTGTATATAATATACATAATATTTTTATATTATAATACATTATATTGTGTAATAATAAATTATATGTGCTTAATATAATATAATATACGTCATTTGATATATTAGGCTTGTGTAATATTTCTTTTTCATGCAATATACGTCATTTGATTTAAAATTTTCTAAAATTTAATTTTTTATTATTAAATGCTATAGGACCAAAATTCAACCAATCTGAGCCCAGGCCTAGGCTTATATTTTAGGCCCAGGGTAAGGCCAGGCCCATGATCACCCCTGAGTGCACCTCTTACCTTTCTAGTTATTAATTAATAACATCTCTTTTATTGTGTCACTAAGCTGAAAAAAAAATGTATTCAGTATCTTTCATTTATTAGATAAATAGTGTAATTAAGCTGCTCCTTGAGTAGACAACCATGACAGTCAACCAACAGCAAATAGACAACATGTACAACTAGCATTGGCCGACCATTGTCCCAATATATCTCATGGGTGCCTTAGATTTCTTCAAAGGTTCCTGTCTACATGTGCATTCCAATATTCACTCAGATTCATAATTGGCAAAAGAATCTCAAGGAACTCTAAGCACGGGGTTTAAGGAAAAAACAATTATTAATTATATCAAACCTGGAAAGTTGGTATTATCACCACCTGAAAGCAAATCATATTATTTAGCCATCAGAATAATGGCTGTCACAAATATGGAAAGAGAGAGGCAAGAGGCTGAACAACCAAAAATCTTCCACATGGCAAGTTGGTTTGGGGCCCAAAATGGCCCACATGTTCCTTTTGTCAACGTCTATAATCAGTCAAATTTGAACCTAAAACCCCCTCAACATGTTCAAAATAACCTCTTCTTTTTAGGTGAGTTTACATTGAAGTATTGAAACTTATACTGTTCAATATCACCAGGGGGAAAACACTAACATAAAGAGGGGTATAAGGTCCACTTGGATTACAAGATTGAATAGATGGAAAATCCAGAGGATCCCCTACCTAATGGATGGTTCAGATGGGCCACTAAACCCATCTGTGCAGCAGAAACAGAGCAGAATGTGTAGGGAAGCTCCCAACTTGACCTGGATAAGGAATTTTTTTCAAGAAGGTGATGATTACTTCACTGAAACAGCCAGTATATGAGAGGATGTACAAAATAAGCGAAAAAGATATCAAGTAGGCATAAGAGTTACTACCATACAACACCCTCCAACCCCCATTTTTGCTAGACCATCAATGATAGAGTTCAGCTCCATAGGGATCCATCTAAGATAAACTGGAAATGAGGATAGAATGTTTCTAATATCATTTAGGGGGGACCATGCCCACCTTCTTTGGTTCCATTCCACCAAGGCCTCATCCATCGCTAACATCCAAGAGTTAAGGAGAAATTAGATTCTTCACTTGAAAGCTTCAAGCAAGGATTTCTTTAATTGAAGACCCAATTGTTCCTGTCTTCCCAAATACCCCATAAAACTGCATGTGTGCCTGCCTTCCAGTATAATCAACCCTTTGCCCCTAAAACCCTGAGTTTTCTAACAGAAAAGCATGTCTATAATGTTTCTGGAAGTCACCAACTCAAGCCCCATAATAAAACCCAGGAAAAAATGTCACAATTTCCTCGTGTCTAAGCAGTGGACAAGAACTTGGTTTGCAGATTCAGTACCTCAGAAGCACGTGACATTGGCATAGGATAAAAAAATACGGCACCTTTAACCACTTCTCCTACAAGATGTTATGTGTTGATCTTGGCAAGCATTGTTTCCCAACTAAAAACGCACACATTACAAGGAAAACGAGACAACCAGTCTTTTTTCCAGGAATGCTTGGTTAGTGGTGTTAGTAACAAATGACCCCAAAAAGGACTTACTAATTTGGTGAAGGAACCAGATGGATTTAGAGCTCAAATATGGATATCCAAGATGGAGGAAGAGATGTAAACCTCTTAGAGAAAACCAAAGAGTGGTACTATTTCCTCAAACACAGTATTCCTATTGAGGTTTACATAAGCATAAATTCCATGGAAAATCATTCACACCAGGTGGAAGGATGTTTGACACCAAAGCACTTACAATTCTAAGCACATTTTGCACTAGGAAAAAATAGGAACTAAGCAGATAGATGAAAAAGACCTGGTATTTGGTTTCTTTTAAAGCAAGTAAAGGTTGGTAAGGCAATAAAGCCAGAGGTTCATTTTCCCCCTCAGGACTAAAAAATAGAAAAAAGAACATCTGAACCTCCCAAACCAATTCTTGTGATATGAATATAATTCACCAAGAATATTGGTTATGAGAGATGCCAATGTTAAATGACTTACCAACGATGAGTATATGTATATGCTCATACTTACTAGTGCATCAAAAGCCCCATAAACCGCCATTGCACCACCCACCCCCGACACACCAAGCGCCGGTGTAACAATATACTTAGTAAATTCAGCCCTGGTACATAAGAGGCATTTTTAAGCATAAATAAGAAATGGAAAATCAGAACTTGCCAGTTATCAACTTGGTGTACTTGGTGTACAATACTATATAGATAGGGTACTTACCACACGAATGCTTGCTGCAAGCCAGAATATGCAATGAGAGGAATGATCAATAGCATTCGTATATCAAATAAGGGAGCAATGACCAACTTCAAGAGAGATACCACAAAAGAGTATAAATTGGTATAAGATTTTGGCGGTCCCTCCTCTGCTTTATTATCTGTTTTACGCAAGAAGCACATAAGCATGGTACCCAAGGTCATGCTTCCAAGAAAGACAATAAATAATAAGGTTGTGCCACTGGTAGCCCCTTCCTGCAGTGGTAATGTCAAATCACTTAGTAAACAAAAAAAAAAAAAACAATTATTGCATAGGAAGTGCATCCAGTTTCACTTTTGATATCATTGCCATTAATACCTGAATATATGTGCATATTAAAAATGTCAAGGAAAAGAATGGACAAGCCACACAGCTACATGTTCTCATTGTCTCCCATGTTGAAAATGGCATGAAACAGCTGTTGTGTAATCACCACAAAATCTTGCTCACTGGGTGTTATAATCTGAATAAAACTCACTTTATGAACTCATGTAGCACCAAATGTATGGAGGTTTGCAGAGCTGAAAGGCAACTGTTCAATCGCCAAAATATCCCTCTCACTAGGTGTATTAATCTGGACAAAACCCAATTTCTGAACTTATGTAGCACCAGATGTATGGTGGTTTGTAGAGATGAAAAGGCAACTACTCCACTCCTCTTCAACCACCCAAACAGATGAATAACATATTTCATGTCACAAAAAATATTAGATTGTATCCTTTTCCATAAATTATGTAAGGAGACAATGCCCACGTGACTCAGATTGAAGCCTATTATCCTACCTACCCTACCTAAGAGATTTCCTAGTCAAAAATCAACTTAACTCTAACATTTTTTATCAGTAAATACAACTCTAAAATTAAATAATAATTCAAAGAAGGACCGAATGGACCAGTCCATTCCATGGACAATCATGAAAAGTATATAACATTGCAAGAAGAAACACCACAAGCTATGTTGCACAGGTTCTTTAGACAATGGATGCTAAAGCTAACCTGATGCAAATCCTCACACACTTATCTCCTGCCCATCTAACCACGTTATTAGTTTACCTTAAAATAATGCTGCCTCAGGAAATTTTAATTGGTCAAACAGCCAGAGGCACATTTTGGACATACCAAGGTACAAACTAAAGCTATAAATTTTGTGCTTATCTTCTCTGTTTACATGCATGGTGTATATGATTCCATGATAAAAAAGGGCAGCCCAGTGCACGAGGATCCCGCCAATGCAGGGTCTTGGGAGGGACATGATGTGTATGTTAATATCAATTATATTACTTTTATCAAGTATTACTTCTGGAAATGTAACACCAACTCTAGTGAATAAAGTCAAAGAAATGATGAAATTGTAATGAATTAAAATATTATATTTTGACATGAAACTACAGAATATTTAGAAAGACAATCTATTTTACCTTCTGAAAAGTACTTTGTTTCTATCAACTTTTGATTTTTATGTTCTATTTATTTCCTTGATTATTAGTACCACCACAGTGCTTTATATGCATTTACTCTGTATAAGGTAAAAGAAAGCTCATGATTGCTGTTGAGATAGTAATGGCTTAAGTTTAGCCTTGGTAGAAATTAATCTGTACATCAAATTAGGCAAATAAAATTACATAAATTAGTGGTTTAAGGGATGAAATTTGGAGAGAAAAATAATTTCTGAAGTGAAAACTCGAAAGTGGTGATATCAGAGGTTAAACAATGTTGCCAATGGGTATAAAGTGATGGTGATGGGAGTTACAATTAGGAAAGAACAAGAAAACCAAAAATGAGTTGGCTGGTCTGAGGAACATGACTGCAGAATAGTATTCATAAAGAATAGGGAGAGAATAAAAAGAACAGGGTTAGTAAAGCATAAGCTTATTGGAGTCAGCACCAGAAAGGGTCTCTGGATTCGTTGGAATCTCTCCAAATAGCAGTTAAGAAAAACATTTCCACCATATCATGCTTGGGTTCTCAGGCCAGGCCCCTCTAAAATTTGACAAAGTTTCAACCCAGGCCTGTCCATGTTGCACACCTAAAATGAATATAAAATAATAACCCTAAACACCTCCACGGTAAGAGAATTTAAATGATTATTCTTGTGACCGGTCCTGGCCTAAGCGTGCAAGTCAGATACCCAATTTGAAGAATTTACACTGCATAAGACCTGTTCAGGCCAAGCCCACTGAAATTTTAACAATTTCCCAACCCAAACCCACCGAAGTTCCATCCCTATTCCAGACATGTTGTATCTATGTCACATTTGTTTGTACCAACCCATTTAGGGTTGTGATATCATCCTACAACCACATTAGGAAACTCCATTATGATTCTAGGCAATCAAGCCCAAGCACAGACCATGACAAGGACCTGTTCTATTTAATTTATGATATCCCAAATGCCCCACATTATGGTCTGACCACAGGGTACCCTTTTTAAAATTAATCATACATGTTTAAGTTGTTGCTTGCCATTTCTCTGAAACATGGTGAGATTTCCCCCATTTCCCCAAGTTTAGATAAACCACCTTGAATATAAAAGTTCTGAATTATATCTTAAATGTGCTGTTTATGTATTCAGTCCCCTTATTCAGTTATTCCACAGTATTAGGAATGAAGAGATTCCTACTGTCATTTTAATAAGATGGATGATCATTATGCATTTGTTCCAGAACAGCCTTGGCATTTGCCCAATATAACAACATATATATCAACAAAGTTCTCAATTGGCTGTGTAAACAATTCAAGGGTCATTGCTTGGTGCAATGATTATGCCAGGCTGATGAGTTTGAGAACATGGTTTCAAGTCTGAGAGAGGCCACTTTGTGCAAAATATGGCAAAGGTTAGGTCTGTATCCAGTCCACCCTTCTCGGAAATATCTGTCATTTCACCAAAATAAGCAAAACCACATTCTTACAAAAAGTTAAGAAATATAGAAGTTTAATTGCTGGTTCTAGACCTTGGACTGACCACACAATATTGATATTTTAGAAATAGAATCACAATTATGACTTTAGTTAAATAACTAGTTGGTACCCATGCGATGCACAGGCTTTGTTAAGCAAAACTGAAGTAGAAAGAGCTTTATGATATTTCCAAATGTGACATTATTATTTTTAATTAATTTTTATAATTTTTATTATTTTTATTATTTGTATTACTTTTATTACTTTTAATAATTTACTTTTTATTAATTAATTTTAATTTCCTTATTAACATTAGTTATTTTTAAATGGAACTCAAATGTATTTTAATTTTAAATTTATAGTAATTCATTAATTTCTTAAGTGTTTTATTAATTATTGGATAAAAAATTGTTAATTTTGGTATTTTTTATTAACTTGAGTAGTTTTTATTAATTTTAGTTCATTGTTGGATAAAATGGATTTAAAATTATAAATTTATGACAACTAACAAATTGTTTTTTATTAATTTAAATAAAATAAATGGATTTTATTATACTTATCTAATTTTTATTATTTTTAAATGGAATTTGAATGGTTGTAACAAAGACTTGCAATCCAATCCCACCTTCATCAAGGGCTTGGGGAGGGCTACCCCATTGTGTTATCCCAAGGAAAAAAAACCATTGGGTGTGTCTTTCTATGGCACTAGCGTATTAGGGTAAAAAAATCTAAGAACTGCATAAACTNCTTTATCTCTCTCATTAACAATAGAAAAAAAGCACCAGGCATTGGAAAATGAAACATGGGGATGCAGATAATTTAATGAGTTAATTCATTAAAAAAAACGCAAAATAGGAAACTATCAGCATGGACAATGTTGTTTTGTATAAGCTGTCAAAATAACATCAACTAAGCCAGTTCTTTTGTTGAAAATAATACTTAATTCTCGAAGATTGAAATTGAACATTTTTTATATTGAGAAACAGAAAAAAAATGGCATGAATACCCAAAATTTAATTCCATTGAGAATCCTATAGAAATGGGAAGCATCATCTTTTTAGCAAAATATAGATAACGAGCAGGGAGTAAAGTAGCAAGAATTGAACCTTAACAGCCACAAGCCAGGAAAAAAAAAAGTAGTCAAAACACACCTTTCCATCTCCCAAGAGAGCAAGTGTAATCAAATTGCCAATGAACTGCAAAATTGAAAAAAAAAATGTAAAATTACAGGTTAAGGATCATCATCTCATTAGTGAATTGAAATCAAATAATAAATATTCTTTTATTATCAGTCAATAAGAAATATTCTATCAAGGGCAAATAATAGACAAATAGGTGAACCTGGTGACTTGCAAAAATTCCCCAAAATTCTCCATTGAAGCTACCTATAACTGTTCCTTCATGCAAATAACAATCTTTTGCATGGTTGCGTGCAGTGGAAGTGAGATATGTTCCCTAACGGATAAGAGTAAAGGCAGAGCTGGATTTATTTATTGTATCAGCTTCTTGGAAAATAAAGAGATGCAAGATAATTTAAGCATGCATGTTTACCTGCCCAACCCAGATGATTGAAGCAGCAAAGCCAAGGTATATAGAAGCAGGAACCATTGTATACCTAGAGAAAGTAGTTAAAATCACAATATATTGCTTCACAGGTATACATGATATAGAAGTTCTACATCATTTATGCAAAATCCTAATTTATGTTAATAGTAAGCCACTGTCTTGAAAAATATTAGCAATTAAAGGAGAAACTTCTTAAGATCAAACCATCAACTGGCATGAAGTTATCCAAACTTGGTTAGGGTTTGAGTAGATTGGTTTGAAGGAATAACTCTATGTTGGGAAAATAGCTGTGTGGAGATTCCCTTTGGAACCTGATAAGCCATCTCATTCTCATGCAGTAATCAAAATCATTCATGGATTAGAGGCCAGTTGTTGGGATGCTGGTTTGGCTGCAAGAGCCTCATTGGCCTCTCAATCAACCTAATGCTTGCTCAGGAAACAGAACTAGATTCTGGGAAGATCTGTGGTATAGACTGCAACATTAGGGAAGTGACTCACCAACGACAACCTAATTGAAAGAGTGCCATTAGACCATGAAAACAGAAAAGCTCATATGCCACAGTTTTACTGGTTTACTTTCTGATTAGATTATTCATCCCATAAGAACCAATGACAACCTAATTGAAAGATTGCTATTAAACCATGAAAAATGGAAAATCTCATATTGTCACAGTTTTACTGATTTAATTGCTGATTAGATTATTCATCACATAAGAACCATCAAGTAACCAAGACTCAGAAAATTAACTGGATCACCAGTTCAACAGTTCAACCACCTAGTCCAATCTGACTACATTGATTAAAAATTTAGCTCTAAAGGTGGCAAGGTGATACTAAGCCTAAGAGATTAGGCAAATGGCTAGAAACCACAAAAGCACCGGTCTTTGACTAATAAGACCTATAATTTATCAGATATGATCCGTTTTGACAGAGCCATATTTTCAATTTCTTATTATTTTGAGCTGAAAATACAAAAACAAAGCCAATAATAAGGAATTTTTCATGTCAAGACATATTATATCATTAATTTCACAAGGAAAGAATTTTGGTATCATATACAACAATTTCATCAATTCCATTCAGCAAAGCAACAAGGCATATTCAAAATCATGAATTTTCATGTGGAAATAATCCAAAGAAATAAGCAAAGCAAGAAGTCAATAGAAGGATTATGGGTTTAAGAAAAGTCAAATTGCATTGTTTGCTTACATGTTGGTCCAAGTAAACATGTATTACAACACTATATATATCCAAATAAATAAGAAATTGAATCCAAGAAAGGCAATATTGCACCAAGAATCCAAGCAAAAGAAGTAATGAATGGCCTGGACATCACCTAAGCTTCTCTTTGATAACTATGATTAGAAGGATTATGGGTTTAGGAAAGTCAAATTGCTTTGTATGCTTACATGTCTCTGAAACCACCAATCATCAGCTCTTGCATTATTGAAAGCATTTAGCCCTTTGAGTTTGATGGTGTTTTCATGATTCCAATCATCAATGCATGCACTGGATGGAAAGTGAAGGGTCCTAGTAAGCATTGCAAAGCATTGTACAGTACTTTTCATATTTGCAATATTTTGGTCAACATGGAGAGAAAGGAATGCTTCCCTTAATTGAAAACTGACAYGTGTGACTAGGTATCATGTTTGACAGGGATTATCAGTCTGATTTTCTCATTGTTAACAGTGCAAAATGACTTCAGGGATGTGACTTGTTCTTCTTCGTTTGATTTTGATTCATTGTATATAAATAGATGATCAATAGATTCTTCTTGGAAAGTGAAGGGTCCTAGTAAGCATTGCAAAGCATTGTACAGTACTTTTCATATTTGCAATATTTTGGTCAACATGGAGAGAAAGGAATGCTTCCCTTAATTGAAAACTGACACGTGTGACTAGGTATCATGTTTGACAGGGATTATCAGTCTGATTTTCTCATTGTTAACAGTGCAAAATGACTTCAGGGATGTGACTTGTTCTTCTTCGTTTGATTTTGATTCATTGTATATAAATAGATGATCAATAGATTCTTCTTGGAAAGTGAAGGGTCCTAGTAAGCATTGCAAAGCATTGTACAGTACTTCTCATATTTGCAATATTTTGGTCAACATGGAGAGAAAGGAATGCTTCCCTTAATTGAAAACTGACATGTGTGACTAGGTATCATGTTTGACAGGGATTATCAGTCTGATTTTCTCATTGTTAACAGTGCAAAATGACTTCAGGGATGTGACTTGTTCTTCTTCGTTTGATTTTGATTCATTGTATATAAATAGATGATCAATAGATTCTTCTTGGAAAGCTTTCCAGGTAATCCTTTTATTGGAGTATTCTAGCATTGGAAGGACATTTTGTACAACCAGTTTAAATGGTAGAGAGGCCCTTGTAGAGATATCGGCATTCAACTTGATTTCAATGTATGCATAGCATTTGGTATTCACTTAATTCACAGTATAATTCAGAAAGCATGCTCCTTATTTGTGAATGTGCTAGACCATCAGATCAGGATCCAAGCCAATCCATGTAAATAAGGTATGGGTGTTGCTGTTGCATCGTTCAAAATTGAAGAATGACAAACCAAAACGTTCATATGGTGGAATGTTTCTCTGAAACAGTTTCCTAGTAAAAGTCAATATGCTGGAAGGATAGATATAGCATGAGACAAGTTTATTGGTATAATTTTCTGTGTATTGCTTACCCGAAGTAAGGCCCCATAAACTGACAGAGTAGATAAACTAAAAGGGGCAAAACTTGTAAACCAAAAACACCTCTCAATTATGTATGACGATTCAACTACAGCTTTGAAAGAGAAACTAGCATACCAAGATGGCTTCAAATTTGCAGCCACGAACAACCAATAGCCAGTGGTGCCAAGCACCAGAGCGTTCTTTGAGCCCAATATCCGAACCACGGGAGACGAGACTAGGGAGAATATGGTGAAGGAAAGGTACAATATCCCGAGAGAAGTAGTACCTATATTCTCCTCCTAAACAGGTATTGCAACTCACAGAATCAACCAAACCATTGCAGAACGGCATAAAGGGAAAACCTAGGCAAATTGTGTAAACAGGGACTCACCGTATTCACCGTGCTCTCCAAATTCTGAGCAGCTCCATAAGCCAGAAATACCAGAAGAAACGCAGAGCTCAAGATATGAACATCTCTGGCATGGCTTTTGGGGGCTTCGTATGACGAATCCCCTTCAACCAGAGGCGCATCTTCCGGTTGAGAAACTACAGAATCCATGGTCGAACTCTCCCCCCTAATCAATCCCAATTAGGAAACCAAGAACCCCAAAACTCTAGATAACTAACACATCCCATCTGTTAGAAAACAAAACTAAAAGAAGAGACCGCCGGCCAGATTGCCTCGAAAAACATAAGCAAAAAAGCTACAGATACAATCAACGTAATTTCTTGCCTCCCGTCGTTTGTTTGATGTGTTCGCTCGACAGAATCCGACCCTCGTCGAAGAGGTCTATTAATCAGATAACAGGATAATATCAAATGAACGGCAGGCGTTTGACTCCATTAACGAAGAGCGCTACGAGCTATTTTTTGAAGGTTAAAATATTTATACCTCCTCTTTTACCGCAATGCTAGCATGTTAACAAAAAAAAAAACGGAATTAAGACGTAAATCTTTTTTTTTTCTTTTTTCTTTTTTTTAAATTAAGATAGAAGTACACATCAAAGACTTTGAAGCCAATTAAGACAGGAGTAGATATTTTAATGCAGGATTATTAATTCCATGCCTCTATTACAAGTTTACAACTAACTAACATTTTCGTCCATGTCCATTTGTTAGGTGAAGTGGTGCAAGCAACGATTTAAAGAATTTACACATGGTTTTCAAAACCACCGGCCGGACGGTCAGACCGGAAAAAGGGAACCGGTCAGGTGATCGGTTCTGATTTTCCCCAAAATTATATTTTTGCCAAAAAAAACATTAATTTGGTCAGTAAAATCGCTGATTCAGGTGGTTGAATCGTTCAATATTTTTGGTTTTTTTTTTATTTTTTTGTCAAAACGGGCCCTTCTTTGATTTGAACAGTCAGACCATTCAACCCAAGAACCAGACTCCTGACTAGTTCGTTGTCCAATCGGTTTTTAAAATCCTTGAATTTACATAGCATTAGGCCTAAGAGCCCAAGTCCATTCAATTTTTAATTAGGTGTGCTGGGGAAAATGGGAGCTTCTAATGGTCCTCTTGCTCGGGGTGATATAATGATTGAATTCAAGTTGAGTCGAACCGAGTTAGTCATATTGAATATCTTTTTATTTGAGTTCTGCTCGCTAAAATAGTATTAGGTTCAAGATCAGATTTGAATTAGAGATTTAAGCTTGAATTCGGTTTGGCTCAAAAGTTAGTAAGTTCAAGTTTAGTTCAGCTCGAATTCAACTATAAGTCGAGTTTTCAATAAAAAATAAAAAATAATATATTACACAAGGTTTTTAAAATCGACCTGGACAATGAACCAGTCAGGGGCCTGCTTCATGGGTCGAATGGTTCGATCGTTCGAACTGAATGGAGGGCTTGTTCTAACAAAAAAAATTAAAAAATAATAATAAAAATGGTCAAAACCATTGAATGGTTCAACTGCCCGGGTCAACGGTTTGTTGACTAAATCAACATTTTTTGTTTTTTTTGCAAAAATCCGGATTTGGGGAAAACTGGAGCAAGTCACCTAGTTCCTGGTTTTTCTAGTCCAACCGTCTAGTCCAGTCTAATTTTGAAAACCACGATTTTACATATAAAAATTATTTATTATTATATATAAAAAATATTATTATACATATAATAAAAAATATGTATGTATATATGTATGCATTAAGCTCGGCTATACCTGTATATCAGACTTGAACCGGACTCAAAGATCGATTTAAATTAAACCGAAACGAGAAGGACGGGATCAACTGCCTAAAAAGAGTGTTGCCCACAGGCGCATGGGCTGTGGGGCGCACTTTGTGGGTAGCGGTCCACCATGGTACGGGATGACAAGGATGATTTTATATAGTTGGTAGAAAAAAACACACACACACTCATCTTATCGGGAATGGAAACAGAAGACACTACTTTCTTCAAAGGAGTCAAGCTAGCACAGTCTCCCAACATGAGGAGACTCGAGAATAGTTTTACTCAAGCCTTATTGAATGTTGGAGTCTAACCCAGTTTTCTCATGGATACAAGTAACCACCAAGGACACAAGGACTCAAAAACAACCAAAAGCCTCAACACAGAAACAATAAATTATGATCAGTAGACGGGTTGGGTTCAGCATGGGTTTGCCTCAACCCCAATCTAAGACTCCTATGTCTCAACTTGACCAGTAGCATTTCAGTTATATTTTATTTAACATATTTTTAAAATCTAAAATATATTAACTTAAGTTATAAATTTGTTTTATAGATTATAAGGTGTAATTCCATTAAAAAAAAAAGGAAACCAAAATATAACATATAAAAATTACTAAACTTTAAGATCATGGAATTAGAAGTCCAAAGGTTACAAGAATAGTATGTATATATAGAGGGGTATCATAACCCCGTGGGTGGGTCATGGTATGTATATATTAGAGGGATATCATAACCCCGTGGGTGGGTCAGCCAAAAACCAAAAAACAGAACCCAGCCAAAGTAGAAGAATCAAAACCTTAACCTGACTCTAAAGTTGAATTTGCATGACCCTAACCCTACCCATTAACATCCATTAAACCAACAAACGACCAGTACTAGAAGATAGCTAGGTATTCTTCAAATCAAGCTTCGCCTAAATTTTTTGGCAATGGGATTCGCTTTAAGTAAAAACATCCAATTACATATTTAGAACATCTTCCCATAAATTTAACATACATAGGAATAGCAATGGAGCGGATTCAGGGTGGGAATCATATTCCCTGTTCCCAACTCCAATTTTGAAATTAACCCCCATCTCGATCTTCGATCCCTGCCGGAGATAATATTTGTCCTCCATTCTCAATCCCCAATGGGGATGGGTTCCCTGCAGGACCCGAATCCCTATAATATTTTTAGATAATAGTATTTTTGTTTAAATAAACTTGCTTAAAATAAAAAATAAAATAAATTATAAATAATATTTTAAATATGTTTTAATATATAGAAATAGTGTAATAATATATATTTAATATAAATAACATTTAATATATATATATATATATATAATCGAGGTCGAGGCGGAGTGGGGACCTCAATCCCCATCCCCGATCCCAACCCCAATTGGAGATTCCTATTAATCCTCATCCCCATTCCCGTCTTATCAAAACAATCCATATCCCCGACCTGATGGGGTCGGGAAGTCAAGCCCCTATTGGGGATGGGGATATGTATATATATATATATCCAAAGAGATATTCTCAAATTGTGGTTGGGTGCTATGTGTGCAAAGTTTTTGTTTATAGTAAATATGGGCTCGGTGCTTTGAGACATATCCCTGACATATACAATCATAAAATGAACAGTACGTCTGTACAACGGGCTAACCCTTTTCCAAACCAAATAACCCCTAAAGAGGGCTGCAAATTAGATCGAATATGGATCCACACTATCTGATATGATGATATCCATTTAGATTCACTTTAAATATATATGTTCATAAGTATTTAAATTTTATGTTGTGTTCAATGTTTCAAAAATGATTCGGAAATGGAATCGTTTTGGCCACCAATTTTTGGGTTGATGGTTCGACAATCTGGTTTAAATGAATGGTCCATTTTGACAATAAAAATTAAAAATAAACACGGCTAAAACTGTTGAACGGGTCAACATATTGATGGTTCGATTGCTCAAGTCAATAAGTCATTGACTAATTCAACAATTTTTTGTTAGAGATTGGGTTTTGAGTAAAACGAAACCGATTGCCTAGACAGTTTCCGGGCTGAACGATCCAATTATCTAAATCAATGGCGGTTCGAAAACCATGATTGTGTGTACCAATAAAGTTGGTTTAAATATTGCATTTTGTTAAAGTATCACATGTTTAAGTTTCATACAAGTTATTTTCAATTAATTTTGTTAAAGTAAAACATTTTTTAAAGTGAATTTTAATTATTCAAAAAAAAAAGTTCATTATACTAAGGACTTTTACGAAAAAAGGGTTTAATTAATTGACAAAAAATGGGTGATGTTTTCAATAAAATGTTCAAATCGGTTAGCACAAAAAGTAAAAGATTTTTTTTTTTCCGGACAAAATGGTCCCTTTCTTTTTGTGCACTGAAAAGTTGGCGCCAGCCACGCGCCATCGATCCATCATGGGAGATTTCCGGATCATACTCATCACCAACACCGGGAACTAGAGCTTAAAAAACACCCTCCGATGATTTCATCTTTTTTAATTTTTATTTTCTTTCTTATGCATGGACGCCTCATGGTTTCTACCACAAAAATTCAATGCTTGCATCCTTGTGCCTTTCTAGGATTTTAATCTTCTCCATTACCTTATTTCTCTAGATTTATTCATTATTTCTCATATTTCCCTTCGCAAGCTTGGATTAGAGCCCAGAGGGTCTTTTAAAGGAACTTGAGAGAAAACCAGATTAAAGAAGGCCTTATTTCTTTGCCGTCAAATCACAAAACCAGATTCACGCTCATCACTGGGCACTGGATCCCAAGATTCGGTTGAGCACCAGAAACAATAGATCTCTTGATGGGTTTTCTCTTTCTTTGGTGCATTCCAAAATTTTCACGGCTTTTTTCTGTCAAAAACTCGTGAATTCTCTGAAAAGAAGGGAAGAAATTTACAGATTTATTACAAGGTAGATGCTGCAACTGCTGAACATTGCAACCATTGATCGGTGAGATGGGCGAAGCCTAAAGTTATCGGGTATTGACGTCTTCGATTTTGAACCTTAGGCTGTGTTTGGCTGTAATACAAATAAATTTGGATTGATGCAAAACTATAATAGTACAAATGATTTGAGTGTAAATTTTGATTTATTTTTATTTCAAAATTTAGTTTATTTTATTTAATTGCAGTATAAATGAAATAAATTAAGACACAAACAAAATAAAGTAAAACCCAAAACAAAATTAAATAAGAATTTATATATTTTTTCATTTGCACTCCCATGTATTTATACTAATGCAAATAAAAATGCACTTCAACCAAATAAAAATGCATTTTACAAAGAATTAATTAGCATGATCTCAACTCACCTCAATGCTCTTCGAAGGTCGACTCCTGCTGTTTTAGCGGGTTCACTCGCTCGCTCCTAAGTCCTGCTCTTTATGTTTGTTTCTCTCGCTCTCACTCACTGTTGTTCTCGCCGTCGCAGTTCTACTGTTCTAGTTATCAGCAACGCCATGTACATATCATATCAGCCCGAGTAAAGAGGCAGGGAGGGTAATCCTAGCTGACCTCACTGGGTGGGTTCATCACAATTCAGTTCAGATCTTGTGCTCTCGGAGACCAGATATGCTCTCGGAGACCAGATCTACTCCTCACATCTGGCGCCTCATAGGCGCTTTACACGCACATCCTATCATGTATTGGGAATAACTCTCGTATTCATTAATTATTATTTACGGAAGATGTTAGGCGCCCATTTGTGAGAGCAGATCCCGTCTCGGTCCCAGCTCCCATACGAAATCGGATTTGCTCCTCGAGCGCGCCTGATACCAACCTCCACCACATCTTGCCGTGTATTGAGGACATCTTGCCATTAATGACAAAATAGAGTACGGGAGGTGTTCTCAATGCACGGCTGAAAGGGCTTGAGATAGGGATTCCACCTCCACTTCCAGGTTGATCAACTTCGGTGTGGGGAACGAGAACCATTTGCATGGAACAAAACAATATCATTTGAATGCCAATGAAGCTTCTTCGTTCTTCTCGTCATACACAAAACCATATCGTTCGGTGGAAAATCAGAAGCATCTGCAACATACCCGACTGGAAATCTGCCGGAGACGACGAGAGGGAAGAAGAAAGGTTTGTAAGCCTGCTCAAAGATATCGTCATGCGAGGAAAAGAGAGCTGGAAAGCCTCCCTGAACAACGCTTTCATCTCACAGAGGTTAAAGCCTCGACATGTAGAGAAGGTACTGATGCAGACACTTGATGATACGAGGTTAGCCTTGAGATTTTTCAATTTTCTCGGCTTACATACAAATTTCGTTCATTCAACGTTCTCTTTCTGCATTCTGATTCATGCTCTAGTTCAATCTAATCTCTGCTGGCCCGCTTCTTCTGTCCTGCAAACCCTCCTTCTCCGCGGCTTGAATCCCTGGGAAGTTTTTGATTACTTGATGAATGCTTATGAACAATGTCGATTTTCGTCGACTATGGGTTTTGATCTTTTGATCCAAACGTATGTCCAAAATAAGAGGATATTAGATGCTGTTGAAATAATTAAGCTCATGAAGCAGCGGAGCTTGCTACCTGAGGTTAGAACTTTCAGTGCTATATTGAATGGGTTGAATAGAATCAGGCATTTTGAGTTGGTTTTGAATATTTTTGATCAGATGATAATCTCTGGCCTTCGTCCCGATGAGTATATTTGCAGCGCTGTGGTTCGTAGCTTATGTGAGTTGAAGGACCTTGTTAGGGCTAAGGAAATGATTCGTCAGATGGAGACGAATGGTATTTCTTTGAGCATAGTAACCTACAATGTATTGATCCATGGTCTCTGCAAGAACCAGAGAGTCTGGGAGGCAATAGAGTTTAAGAATTTTCTAGGGCTTAAGGGATTGAAAGCTGATGCGATTACATACTGTATATTGGTACATGGCCTCTGCAAGGTGGGAAGATTAAATATTGCCGTGGATTTGATGAATGAAATGCTTGAATTAGGGTTTGTTCCAAGCGAGGATGCTTGCTCTTACCTGGTTGATGCATTGAGGAGAAAGGGGGAGATTGCAGAGGCCTTCGGTTTAGTTGATAAGTTGGGAAAGCTAGGAATAGTACCCAATTTATTTGCTTACAATGCCCTTATGAATTCTCTATGCAAAGAAGGAAAGTTGAAGGAAGCACAATTACTTTTTACTCATATGAGTAAGAAGGGTCTGTCTCCTAATGACATTACTTATTCCATATTAATTGATTCCTTATGCAAGAGAGGAAAACTGGATGAGGCACTTCTTCTTCTTGACAAAATGGTAAAGGCAGGGATATGGGCAACTGTGTATCCTTACAATTCCTTGATAGGTGGGCATGCTAAACTGGGGAAATTAAATAAGGCCGAGGCACTTTTTAATGAGATGATTAAGAAGGGATTAGCACCAACTGTGAGAACCTATCAATCGCTCATAAGTGGATATTGCAAGGTGGGAAATTTGCATAAGGCATTTAGTCTCTATCATGAGATGTCTGAGAGAGGTATCTCACCAAACACTTATACCTTTACTGCGCTCATTGATGGCCTCTGCCATGCAAAGATGATGGTTGAAGCAAGCATACTGTTCAATGAGATGTTGGAGCATGGTGTGATCCCAAATGAAGTAACATATAATGTAATGATTGATGGATATTGTAGGGTAGGCGACACAGTAAAAGGCTTTGAACTACTTGATGAAATGGTAGAAAAGGGTTTGAAACCAGACACATACACTTACAGGCCACTAATCAGTGGCCTTTGTTTGACAGGTAGAGTGTCTGAAGCCAAAGAGTTTTTGGATGACCTTCAGAGAGAGCATAAAAAGTTGAATGAGATGTGCTTCAGTGCACTTCTACATGGATATTGCAAGGAAGGAAGATTACATGATGCTTTTGCTTCTTGTAGGGAGATGGTGGAAAGTGGAATTGACATGGATATTGTTTGCTATGCGGTGCTTATCTATGGTGTTCTGAAACAGCATGATACGGCAAGATTGTCTGAGATCTTGAACAAAATGTATGACCAAGGACTGTGGCCTGACATGATAATATATACGAGCATTATTGATGCATATTGCAAACTAGGAAACCTAAAGGGGGCCTTTGCATTTTGGAATAAGATGATTGCTGAAGGGTGCATCCCCAATGTTGTAACATACACCACCTTGATAAATGGGTTATGCAAAGCGGGATACATGAACAAAGCCGAGCTGCTGTGTAAGGAAATGCTAGTTACAAACTTCCTTCCAAATCAGACTACTTATGGTTGTTTTCTTGACCACCTTACAAAGGAAGGAAATATGGAGAAATCTATGCAGCTTCATGAAACATTGCTTAAATCATTATTAGCTAATACTGTCACTTATAATATACTTATTCGAGGTTTATGCAAATTGGGTAGAACTGATGAGGCTAGGAAGCTCCTTGACAAGATGATAAAGAGTGGTATTTCCTCAGATTGTATCAGTTATTCAACAATTATTTATGAATGTTGCAGAAGGGGTGATTTGTATGAAGCTTTTGAACTGTGGAACTCTATGCTAAATAGGGGGGTGAAGCCCGATACATTAGCCTATAATTTTTTGATATATGGATGCAGTGTTAACGGGGAATTAACCAGGGCTTTTGAATTGCATAATGACATGATGAGAAGGGGTGTGAAGCCAAATTGGAGTACATACAATTCTCTTATCCATGGAACCTGCCTAACAAGATCCGTCCCCTTTTCTGGAAGTTAAGCACAGTTGAAACTGTGGTGCAAAACCAATTTGGATGACACACATTGATCTTATCCATGAAACCTGCTTTGACAAAATCTTTCTCATTTTCTGGAGGTTAGACATGTTAAAAATATCATATACTTTTGCAACGCAAATAGGAGAACAATGGGAGTCAGATTTTTTGTAAACCTTCAGTTGGGAGAAGGGTAACCTTCATGTTTATTTTATTGGCAGGCAAAAATGACTTCAAAATAGATGTACCATAGTTTCAAAGCAGATATACCATCACCTGAAGTTCTCAGGTTTTGACATCTTATGGTCATTCCAGAAGGAGCCAACTAGATGAAGTTTTCTACATTGTTGCAATTTTGTTTAATACAAGGTCAACAAGGAAAATCACCCTGTGACTGAAAGATGGTCAACATCAAGCTGATAAGGAACCACTAATTGATTGTGGTCTTAAAAGTTTGGAATAATCTCTTGGCATGGAAGGTTTGCAGCGGGATACAACTGGTTATAACATTGTTTTTAGTCGGTTATTGGTTGTAAATGTCTTTATTTTTCATAGCGCTGTACCATGTGATGGACTTCACTTTCTCTTGTAAGTTAAACCAGCTCCTTCACTGGATTTGTCCATAGTCTGTGATTTTTTTAGGTTGTCCAATAAAACACACAGAAACACACAAGGAATTCAATATTGGTGGCCTATTGGCTTTATGGGTTGAAAGTCATTCTAGTATTACATTTCAGAATCCAGGAGGCTCTGCAGCGGTAGGATGCTTAATTTTCTATTACTTATTGCTACTTGCTTTGTTAATTGGGAAAAGTGCTTTCAGAGTTCAAATCTGTTTTGATTTGACGCATGGTGTGGGTATACAATGCCATGCTCAAGTGCTATTTTACAGTCAACTCATTTTAAACAGCTTTTGTAGGCAGTAGTGTACAAATGAGTTTCTCCCATGAAAATGGATATAGGGAGCCAATGTTTAAGCATAAAATTTCCTTTTCTTTTGATTTTAATGTGGAAATCTGTGCTCAATAAGATTTTACTGACCAATCATCTCATTTTCCAGGGTTGGGACTTGGAGACAAGTGCCTTTATGTGGACTGTGTAGTGGTGGTGAGTGACCCTGTTTCTGCTGCATTGTTGATTCTCATATGAGATGTGGACCCCCTTTTTATTACTCTTAAGCATTTGCTATGTTAGTACAAAGGGAAGTGCCTACCACTGTTGATCCCATCCTGGCCAGTAAAGTGTTATGGTCCTGGAGGATATAATCAATTCTCTTCATGTGTAGTTGCTACAAAAAAGGTTCTTTTCTTTAACCAATACCAGAAGTCTCTCTCTCTCTCTCTGAAAAGGTAAAAGTAATGTATTGGATTTTAAAATATACACCTTGCCTTTGCCATTCCATTCTGCTATGTGCAATATCCATCATCAAATTATTGGCACTTCATTTTTTAGTACATCCACCCAACCCTCTTTGGCCTGTCCCTAGCTCTTCTAGCCCCTTCAAATTGTAACAGATCACTTCTTCTAACTGGTGCTGTAGATGGTCTTCTATGCATGTGACCAAACCATCTCAATCTACTTTCTCTCATTTTATCACCTATTGGAGATACTCCTAGGTTCCTTTGTATGACTACATTTCTGACCCTAGCCTTTCTAGTTTTACCACCTATCCACCCATGCATATGCATTTATGCCACATTCATTTTTTTGGACATAGGGATACTATTAGATGCAATACCAAAAATTATTAAGGATCAGTAGAAAGAAAGGCTCCTGTATGCAAAGCCCAAACGAAGAATGCAAAAGAGCTTGATAGAAACTAGTTAAAGCAAACCTGAAATCCCAATTTCTTCCAAATCCTCCACTAGCAAGATTATCAAGTAATAAATTTGCTGACCTTTGAATACACTTGAACAAGACACTCATCTTGAAAGCCAAGGCTCTAACTTCCTTGTTATATTGTCTCAAGGACCAACTTTCCTGAGAATCATCCAGTAGCTAGCCAATCACAATCTAGGAATTACCTCCTAGTGCATCAGGTCAAAACCCAAATGAGATGTCAACATAAGCCTGTAGAGTAAAGCCATGATCTCTGCTCTCAATAAGACACCAACACCAATAGGGCCAGAGAGAGCCAAGAAACTCCCTGTCATCTGTAAAAGAAAAAGAAATCAGGAAGGACCAAAGTTCCCAAAAGAGATTTGTCAACAGAGTTTGTTGGCTCATTGAACCAGTGGAAACCGATATCTAGTTGTATGTTGCTTCTGATCAGGGAACTGACAACAATCTGTAACAAGAAAAACCTTTCTAGCTATATTCCCATCTTCTGACATTAATTTGATAACAAAGCTTTACATTTTACGTTCCTGTATGATCAATCTAAATTAAGTTTGAAGGGCTAAAACTCAAATTAGCTACATCAGAACATTATAATCACTAAAATTCTGATAAACTATGCCATAGTTTTAAAGGTTGCATGGGTAGGTATCATGTAGGCAACTAAGCACTTATTGCATGTCACCCCAGCCAAACACTCAGCAGTTTTTTTTTAATTATTTTAACATGTATGTTTATAGTATTAATATAGGCACTGTTACACCAAATCAATTATGTTATTTCATATACTAATTGCTTGCTTTTACCATTTTCTTTTTCTTTTGTTAGGGTTCAATCAACACACAACTACACAAGTCACTGCAGGCAAGCACCCAACTTGAACTCTTGAAAGCTTGAACTTACACCTTCACACAAGTGAGAATCTATCATCAAGGAAAGCAAAAGGACTGAGACAAAGAAGAAGCAGTTGTTACTTTTCTTATTCTTATTCTGGGGATAAGTGAGGCTCTGCCCCTTCTTATGCACAGATTTTTTTATGCATTAATTGTAAGCATTGCTTTATTTAAGTCTTTTCTTAGTGATTTTATAAGCAAATCTTTTCTGGAAATCTCTTCATGCAGTTGCTCATTTGAACTGAACTGGTGAGTTTTTGAGGTCCCTGGCAAATTGGGCTACTGATTGGCTGTGCTTGCTAGAACTTTTGTCTGCCTCCACTGAGATTGATTACTTTCAGGTATTATATCCACAATTATTTGATCTTGTAGACTTCGCCATCTGCTTTTTTTTTTATAGGTAAAAGTTCATTAATGATTCATTAGCAGCAAAAAATAAATGTCTGTTACAAGCATCCCAAGGGGAGGCGTGAGATGCAGCCTCACTCTTTAGAACAAAAGCAGCACAAAAATTACAAGTGGGCCCAATACAACTGATCCCTAGTTACTCCTTGCTTAGCTAGATGGTTAGCAAGTGCATTAGCCTCCCTTCCCACCCATTGTATGGTCAAATTCATATGTTGCGTTACCCATTTGAATTTCTTCAATTCATTTCTATAACACCATATCACTGAGTCTGGATCTGTAAGCCAACCCACCACCACCTTGGAGTTCCCTTCTATCACCAAATTCTCCAAGTCTATCTCTCTTGCAATCGATACATTTATGCACCTTGCTTCAACTTTCCTGTGTTTGGTAAGAAGACAAAAATGACCTGACAATCGATGGGAATCTGCATTCTTGTCAGAGTTTCCCTCGATTATGCAAACAAAATTTGTTTTGAAAAAACAAAAGCAAAATTTTCTTTCTCATTCTATCGAGAGAAACAGGCATACCATTTGCTCTATCTTTACCAAATTTCTCTATAGAACTATGAGATAGAGGCACAATTGTTGACTGCGGCTACCTGTGACATGCAAGATCTCAACCCAGCGGCCACTTAAATTGAGTTTTCCGACTAATAAAGTGAGAGATCTCACAACTTACAAGTTATGGAAGGTGATTGTTGATTAGAGCTCTTTCTCTATGGAACTCTCTATATTGCGTAGAGGATTCAACTCAACTTGTATAATCTCTTTTGAGATAAAACTTGAAATCAAAGTGAAAAAGAACCCAAAAAATCCAAGTTTTTGGGGGCCGGTGTTGGAAAAATGCGAAAAGAAATTAGCCACTTGAAAACAATGTTATCTGTCAAAAGGGGGAAGGCTAACACTCATAAAGACTTCACTTGCAAATCTGCCCATCTATTTCTTATCAGTGTTCCAAATTCCTAGAAAAATCAGAACACAGATTGAGAAACTTCAAAGAGACTTCCTGTGGGATGGTGGAGGGGAGAAAAGAAGTCATCTAGTGAGTTGGGCTCAGACTTGTAAATTAAAAGAGGCAGGAGGGCTGGAAATTGGTCACCTGAAAGAGAACACTTCTCTACTTGGAAAATGGCTGCGGAGATTCCCTAAAGAAACAAACTCTCTTTGGGCAGCTGTCATCACCAGTAAGTATGGGTTGGACACCAATGGTTGGGACTGCAACCTTCATTCAAACCGTGTAACTTCATCAAGCCCTTGGAAATGTATCATCTCAACCTCTAACAAATTCTTTCCTTTCATAAGGTTTAAAGTGGGCAATGGTACTAGAATAAAATTATGGACTGATCTGTGGTGGGGCGATACTACTTTAGCAATTTCCTACCCTAAACAAAGAAGCAACCATCTCCCAATGCCTCCCCCCTTCCCCCACTGAGAGCAACATAAACTTGAGCCTTAGAAGACCCTTAAGGTTAAGAGAGTCAGAGATCAATGAGCTAACTGAACTTCTCTCCCTCAGAGAAGTCTACATTTCCCCTAATTCCCTAGATTCCTGTGTCTGGAAACCTCACCCTATAGGCGAGTTATCCTCCATTTCTTTCTTCAAGGTTTTGGTTGCGAAGGAGCAGAATTATCACTTCCCTTTCAAGAATGTCTGGTGCAACTACATCCCCTCTACAGTGTGTTTCTTTGTATGGGAGGCCTGTCTGCACAGGATAAACACTTGTGAGCTATTGCAAAAGAATTTTGGCAGACTTTTCATCTCCCCCCATGTCTGCATCCTTTGCCTGAGAGAAGGGGAATCAACTGACCATCTCTTCATTCACTGTCAGGAAACCAGGGACACCTGGAGCCATTATCTACAGCTAGCTGGGTACAGCTGGGTTGCTCCAAATCACCTCCAGGACTTACTCCATCAATGGCAAGGTAAAGGACTGAGTAAAAGAGGTAAGGTTTATTGGCAAATAATTCTGCATGCTGTACTTTGGGGAGTTTGGGAAGAAAGGAACAACCGCTTGTTTGAGAACAAGGCCAAGACAAAAAGTAATCTGATCTCTCACATTACCTATAAATGTAATCAGTGGGCTTCCAGCTCAGTCAAGTTTAAAGGAGTCTCTATAAATGACCTAAACAGGGATGCTGGTTTTATCCTTTTCTCCTCCCCCCACCCTCTTCCCCATCCATAAAGGCCCCTTACCTAGGAGGGAAGGAACTTGGACCCTAAGTTTCAATGGAAGTGCTTTAGGTAACCCCACAACTGCTGGCATTGGAGGAGTTTTAAGGGATGAAAATGGGAACACTTGCTGGGTGTACAGTGGGCCGATAGGAATGGTTGACTCTACAAAGTGATGGTTGCACTTACAGGAGTCAGACTAATCAACAGATTAGGCATCCAGTGCCTATCCATAGAGACTCAGCAAACACTATAAAGTGGTTAGGAAGACAGGAGGCTGGGCCGTGGAGACTCGGTCATTTTCTGACAGAGGCAAGGGGCCTACTGGCAACTACAAACGTACACCTGTGCTGGATTCCAAGGGATCTTAATGCTCTTGCAGATGGGTTAGCAAAATTAGGTGCTCTTTTAGAAGTACTGTACTGTGATAAGATCCCTCCTGTGTAATTTTCAGGGGTCTGATCCCTGTTTGTTTGTTTTCTTTGTACACCATCTTTGTGTACCCCTCTCTTTTCTTAATGAATTCATTATACTTTTCTCAAAAAAAAAAAGTGAAAAAACCCTCTCTGCATTTCAGAGAATGAGGGAATAAGCAGAAGTTCCAAAGGTTGATTTCTTCAAAGTTCCTTGGTTTCAAAGTGGTGATAGTCCCAAAGGAGAAAACCAAAATGCATCATCCTTCAAGATGAGGCGTTTGTAGTGCTTAATATGCCAATTTCTGACTTAGGCCATGTTTGGGAGTGCTTATTCGGAACAAGTGCTTATTTGGGCTATTAAACACTTATTGGTATTTGGGAAATATTTTTAAAATACGTGGTTATTTTAAAAATAAGGGCTTATTTTTTTAGCCCAAATTTCCATTTTTTTAAGTGCTTATACAATAAGCACTTAATCAATTTTTTTCCAAAATTATCCCTAATTGAATTTTAAAATACCACTTATAAAATTATGCCTAGTTGAATTTTATAAAAGTACTACTTTTATAAAAGTACTTTTGTAAAAGCACTGTCTTAAAAGTACTTCCATAAAAGTGCTTTCACAAGTGCTTTTATAAAAATACTTTTGTAAAAGTGTTTTCGTAAAAGTGCTTTCATAAGAGTATTTTCACAAAAGTGTTTTTATAAAAGTATTTTAGTAAAAGTGCTTTCATAAGATCATATTTTGAAAATTTGAAAGAAAATGAATGACAAAATAGTCAAAACTCAAAAGTGCTTATTTAAGTGCTTATTGTAGAAAAAAGGCTACCAAACGAGCCAAATGCAAATAAACTTGTTTTTAACCATCAAAAAGCATTCATTTTTAACTTAACCACTCCCAAACATGGTTATGATTGAATTATTGATCATCGATGCTATTCAGTTTTCGTTCATTTCAGATGCTATTTTGTTTTTCTTTGTTTTTTTTATCAAATTACTATTTTGATGGTTCTATAAAGATAAGTGTTGTCTTTTCTTTGTTTCATACGACTAAAAATATTATTGGATGTTTTGGTCACAAGGTGTATCAGATTTGGTTGGATGCTTCACCAAGATGGTTGAACGTACAAGGAGCTGGATTAAATTTTAAAATATCCTATATAATGGTCAGGATTTGAAATATCAGTTAGAAATTCCTCTACAACAGTCAGAAAAAACTTCGGTTTAATGCACTGTATGCACATGATATTTTTGTAACGATTGGAAATGTCTAACGTTAGCATATATGTCCTGTAACTTTGCAATTGTGAAAACAAATGAGATGAATGCAAAGTGGGCATGAAAATCTGAACCCACTTTGCATTGACCTGAACTGGAGAAGTTATATTTGTGGAGTGCAAATATGTATTTGCAAGGCTCCGTTTGGGAAGAATGCAAATACAAAAATGATCAGTATAAATGCAAATACGTCTGATTCATGAAAATGCAAAGTTAGTTTATTTTTGTAATGATAATTTAACACTCTTGCTAAATGATTTTTAGTTGTAATAGGTACAAGAATGAATCCCGAATGAAATATACCTTTTTAACATTGATTAACTTTGAGTGCAAAGTTTGTGTCCATTTTTTGGATGCAAACCTGAGTTCGGCTTTAGTCAGCCAAAGTTGAAGCGCGCATCGTTCGCACAGCATGAATACACGCCATGCGTCCTTAAAATGTGTGCGTCATAAAAACGTGTGAGGTCAACTCTCACCACTCATGCTCATAACAAATCGAACCCACGCTGCACGGTGATTCTTGAACTCGCATACATGGACCGGGCCGCCATGTCTCTCTCCTCCGCAGTCCCCATCCTTCCTCTCCCTCTCATTCCCATCCAAGGTTAGGGTTATACCTTTCAACCGGCTAGTGACCAGAGCAATTGGCAACTGGCGGCAACCTTCGTCTAGATATTGGCCATGATTTTCCTTCTTTTTCTTCTTTTTAATCCTTAGTCGTTACATCCCCTGAAAACTAATGTATTCTTTTTTTTATTTTTTAATTGTTCAAGAACCGGTGAAACGGACAAGGTATCAGGCATTACGGACGGTGATGGCATTCTTAACCATTGCCGGTGACAAAGAACAATAGGTAAGTCTGATAATTCCCTTCTCTTTTCTCGTTGTCTTCAGCCTCAGCAATGACCTGGTCTTGTTTTTCCATATTTGGTGGAGGTGGGTCTTCATGGGTCACTGGGAAGTCAAGAAAATGGGAAAGAAACTCAGGAGGAGGTTCGCTGTCATGGAGGGATGAGCAGTTGTTGCTGTTGGGTTGTTGGTCGTAGTTGAGCTAAGAGGGTCAGTTGAATTGCAACTTGTTCCTATTCTAGTTGATGAAGAACATCGTCTATGCACCTGCGATGAACTTTCTGATTTCAACCTCTTCTCAATCTGTTCATATGTAAATTGTAATTAAAATGTAACAAAAATAAATATAATTTGATGATGGATTTTGATATTATATGACTATTTAATATTTACCTGCTTAAGAGGAGAGAAGAAGGTGGTATGGAGTGAAGGTGGTTGCATCTTTCTTCTCGATTTTCCATTCTTCTATTTTGTGTCTGCAAATATAATCTCCTTCACAGGATGTACATTCTCAATTTCTCATAAACTTGTTTCTTAAGCTACAAATAAAATAGAATATAACTCTATCATTGAAACGCCAAACAAATAAAAGAACCCTGCCATTGAGACTCCATGAAGCAAAAGCAAAACATATTCAACATTTTCTTAGTTCCATCATGCTCTGTCATTGAAATGACAAAACATAAGCTTGTTTCTTAGTTCCACCGTGCTTTGTTTTCTTTTTTTTTTAATCTCAAAATAGAATATTTTCGAACTGATTTAATAAGAATAAGCCATTAAGATTTAAAGCTAAAGCAAGAAAACATAATATTTGTTTAAAAAATAAAACAGAGCACGATGGAATTGACCATGGAATATTGAACGGCAAGACATAGCATGAAGAGAGAAGGGAATTACTGGACTTACCTGCTGTTCTTCGTCACCGGTAATGGTTAAGAATGCCATCACCGCTCGTAATGGCTGATACCTTGTCCGTTCCACCGGTTCTAGAACAATTAAAAAATAAAAAAAGAATACATTAAATTTTAGGGGATGTAACGGCCAAACCAAGGATTAAAAAGAAGAAGATGAACCATGGTCAGTATCCAGACGAAGGTTGCCGCCGGTTGAAAGGTAGAACCGAGGGAGGATGGGGACTGCGGAGGAGAGAGATACGTTGTGACCTGGTCCATGTATTCGAGTTCGAGAACCAGCATGCAGTGTGGGTTCGATTCGGTATGGGCAAGAGAAGAGTGGTGGGAGGAGTGCGTTTAATTCATCTCGCACGTTTTATGACGTACACGTTTTAAGGACGCGTGGTGTGTATTCATGCTGCACGAACGATGCAAGTATCAACTCTGCCTGGGCTGAAGCCGAACTCTACAAACCTTGCCCTCATTTTGAAGCAAACATGACTTGAAATTTGTGTTTGCTGTCATTTTCAAGACATAGTACATTGGTCCCTCAAACCCCACATTGGTAGGAGTCTCGTGCACTCGGCTGCCTTAAAATTGTACTCTCATAGCAAAATTGAACCAGAATGCAAATATGCACTGAACCGGCATTTGCATTCTTCCCAAAAGGAGCCTTAGGATGCATTTGGAAACGATGTAAATAAGTATGAATGTAAATATGTAGAGTGTAAAATGGTTTATATAAATTGTAAAATTGGGTTAGTTTTGCACTGACATTAACCTTCCTATCAAGCAGACTTTTAGTTGTAATGGATGCAAATATGAATTTCAATAAAGCATATGCTTTTTTTTTATCAAAAACCCATTTGAATGCAAATTTACTTCTTTTTTATTGATGTATTTTTACATTTTATCATCGATGTAAATATGCATTAGTCTGTCATTTATCAATATATAAATATAATATTGTCAAACACAAGCAAAAGTGAACCAGAATGCAAATTTACTCTGAACTGGGATTTACATTCCATTTGCATCATTTCCAAACGCAGCCTTAGTTTCACCTTGGCACCTATAACATGGCATCTACTGGTTTGAGCTTTCTAGTTTATAAAGTTTTAGCATGACAGTCCTGAATAGGTGAGAGCAGATGGTGATGAACTCACCAATCTGAAATGAAGAGCCATTAGTACAACCTGTCTACTTTCAAACACAAACCAATTGCTGAAATGGTGACCTTGGGTGGGAATGGGTTGATGTGAAACTTGGGGTTGAGAAGACCCTTGAGAGATCATGAAACAAGTGATCTGGTTCCTCTATATGTCAACTTGTCTTAGTAGGGGAATGATGAAAGGGTTGGGTTCCTAATGTCAAGACCAACTACACCTGTGCCTCCTTTTTACTTGTACACGCCTAGTCAGAGCTACCCTTTTCTCAATAGAATGGTGTAGTTGGCCCAATTCCCCCTTAAGGCCAAGAATTTTTGTTGGAAATCTGTCAACCAAATCATAAACACCTACGAAAGGCTCTAAAGAAAGTGTAAAAACTAGGTCTCTCACCTAATGTCTGTGTCCTATGCTTGGAGAGCGGGTAATGAAAACACCAATTGCTTTCTGTTGCATGCTTCTAGACTGAGGCAACTTTTCTTCTCATTGTTCGGGAGAACTTGGGCGGCACCAACTGAAGTGGTAGACTTATTCAAAACTGACTTCATAAGTGTTTGTACCCATAGGCAAATGATTTGTGGCAATGTGTGTGTGGTGCAGTTTTATGGGGGCTTTGGAATGAAAGAAATGTGAGCAAAATAAGCTAGCTGGCACTCCCACAAAAAGACTCGAGCAACCAGCCCAACCCTGAATTCCCATTCCACCTTGCCAATGACTGCTTCCACTGGCTTGGATTTAGATTAAAAAATTCTGCATTCCATTCTTTCCACACTGCCCAACAGATTGCAAAAGGGAGACAGTTCTAGAGGAATTTTCTTTGAGCTGAAAAGGAGCCAGTCTTCTAAGAAGATAACAGGTCCGCGACATAGAAAGGTAAGACCTACTGGATCTAAAACAGTCCAAAGAAATGGACCACACTTGAGAGGTGTAAGGGCAATGTGTCATCAAAGCTGAATCACATAGGTTAGCAATAGATGGTTGACAGATTCTGGTGCTGAACCACACAGGCTGCATGTGTCATCAAAGCTCAAACCTCATTGCAGCAAAACATCCAGTCTAGGCTCTTTCTTTTGCTGCCAGCCAAACCCTGGTGAGGTGTATCGGGAAGCTCTTGTAATACTTTTCTCTATTATTAATAAAATTTCTTACTTTACTTTTCAAA